ACTAAGGACTGGCAGAAGAAGAGTGGTAGTGAGTTAATTCGAGGCGGGTTGAACCATCAAGCCCACAAGAAGGTCCTCAAGTATCGTGACCATGTTCCAGTTACGTTTGTGCCAATTGTGTTTGGTGCGGGGGGTGCCATGAGTACTCTCACCACGGAACACTTCAAGCAATGGCGCAGGATTACTCCCAACTGGGACCACCTACAGAGGCTTATTTCATTTGCGCTCGTAAGGAAGAGAGTGACAAACTTCCGGTTGATTTAGGCAGTATTTTAAGATGTCTTATTTTGAAAATTTTCATTTTAGTAACGATCTTTTGATAGTATTTTGTAACCTAAAACCTAACCAACCAATCCATAACCATAACCTAACTCTCTCACATCTGAGAACGAAGTGTAGCAAATAAAGCCACCTAGCAATACATTGACCATCAACAAACCAGCTGGTGCCCGTCAGACGTCCAGCAGTCCTATATTGAGCTATTTCAGGTGTGCCTTTTCATGACGTCATAGACAGACATTTCCATATCTCAGCAACTACGGCAGACATGACTCTTATATCAACACAGGTTGTTTCTGTGCCCTCAATAAACACATTGCACTTTCGATGTCGTTTTGCCAGCGTCAAAGATTCCCATGTATGTTGCTTTTTCACCTAACCATACATCTTCATACATAATACGTTAATTTGACATGCATATTATACAATTAATATAAGTATGGAATTCTTTGTGTGCAGGGTGTATGGATCATATGCGTAAAAAATGATGATCCTAATCCTCTCTTCCTTATACTGCATCACCATCCAGCATTGAATTTATCATCATATTCAAATCATTCTCATGTTCGGGAGTTATCATGAAATTATTGTTACTGTAAACACTATTCGATGAGTCAGACTTGAGATAATCAAGCATATCCCTGAAGAAACTATCATTCTGCTCAACAACATTGGTATTATCTTGTGGTAGTTGTATAATGTTAGCGGTTACAGTACTGTGGAACTCTGTATTGAAAGATATTAGCTGTTGGTCTTCAATGAAGATGTCGCCTGGTGGTAAAATAGCTTTCACAATGGGTAATAAAATGTCCACAGCTCGTCCGTACAAAACGTTCTTACTTTCAACGCCCCTTAGCGTCAGTATACCTGTTTTTATGTAATCGAGATCTTGATATCTTATGTTTCCCATCCTTCTACTCTCACAATAGCTTAGTATCATGATTAGCGTCGCCCAGAAAGGACACCAAGAAATAATACAATCAGCCCAGATGCGGTCAACTTTTCTATTTAGTACGAGATCACTATAAATGCAGATAATCGATCTTGACGCATTAGAGCATATTGCTAAGCTGGCCGTTTGAAAATTGGAGGTTGGAAGTTTCAGTTTAGGACAAGGCATAAAGGGTCGATAGAGAATCAACTACCACCATAAGCAATTAAAAACATTAAACAGTCATACTCACCTGCGCGTTATAGAACGCTAGCTTGATATTGGCACGAAATTGGTATGTCGTATCATCCTTGATGTCCTCATCATTAATGGAGACATTATTAATCCAATCGTTTATCTTCGCGTTCAACGTAGCGATGTCGTTCATTTTGAGAATAGCATTTTCTCCTACATTGCTCTTCCTAAACTTATACTTGACTGCTATTAGAAACAATTATGGGTGCATCATGACCCACCAATTTGTGACTAATTTGACCATGAATTTGGCAAATTTTTATTATATCGTTCATATACTTTATGCTGGCTATGCTATCCGAAGGGTCTTTACTAGTGACCTCGACATGATCCAAGTGCATTTCATCATCCTTAATGAGTAAAGATCTGCCAAAACATGCTGTGTTCGATCGGTCAATAATATAAAGAATCCACCAAGCACGTTTTCGAGCTTCTTTTTCTATGATGTCGTCGTGATTAGGATTCATAAACTTATAATGTAAACCGATATTTTGTGACAGTAGAATGGTCAGGCCATTAATCATGGTCGAGCTTTTCGTATGGACACCTCGTTGAACGTACATCTGTAACAGGATAAGAGCTTGAATGTCCTCCAAACCGGCAGAAGCTTTCATATAATTTGGCATTTTTTCTACCGCTATATTATAATAATAATAACCTTGAAGAAACTTTAGATTTTCTCTTCCTGGGATTGATAATCTGTTGTCATTTGAGTAAAGTGCTCCAAGGGCTGCGACCAACATCAAAATCGTGCCAAATGGCCTTTCCAGTTTCCTTGGCATTTGTTTCCGAAAGTGTAACTCATTCAGTAAAGGCATACTGATATTAACCTTCTCAAAATATAAAGTTACCAGTTGGTCTAAAAGTGTTTCATCGCCGAAGTCTTCCTTTTTGTAAGGTAAGTTGGTAAAATACGAATGCGGAGAAATTTCTTTGGACCAATCGTCAAGCCAATATTGCGGACGCTTTCCTTTGATAAAATCTAGAGTATTCAATCCTGTATGAGCTTCAATTCTACCAAACAAGCCTCTCAACGAAGACTTTCCGAAGAATTTAATATTATCACTTTCTGCGTCTGCAGGTATATAAAGACCATCTATATTATCGGTCAAATACTCATCAGAAAGATCTGCGTAGTCGCTTGAAGGTATTATGTCACTATGGTTCTTCTTTTTCAAGCTGTCCACTGATGTTGAAATACCTTGGCCTAACAATGCCTGACAACGGGCTAGCTGGCGTATTTTTTTTAGCAAAATGTTTGTTATTTAATATTACGTACCTCTTCCTCGATATCTTCAACGTAGCTCACTTTGTACGTTCTGGTGGGTTGTGTACCATTGTAAGTGCATACAGCCCCTTTTCTATTCTTACAGTTATTACAACGGTTAGGATTAGCTCCATCACATTTGATTTTTCTTTTTCTACAGCTAAATATATCTATTTAGACGATATCTATTTAGCTGAGGTTAAACTCACTTGTCACACTGTCAGATAATTAGAATATATTTCCATGGTGTTTACTCCTTACTGCTGTTGTTAGCTTCGTTCTCTTGCTCGCCTGTGATGAGCTCATGGACGCTGTGATATGAGGAGCTAATAGAAAATTTATTACTTTAATTACATGATACAAGAAAATATCTATCTATATAAATAATGAACGATTGATGACATCAGATTTAGATAAGAGAGAGTTTTTTAAATGATTTGAGATTTGGTGGATTAACTTTTGTTACGTAGAAAAATAAGTATGCTAACGCAAAGCTAGAGATTGAGAAGAGCGTGAAAATACCGAAGTATCCCCAAGGCCAGCCAGTCGAATAAAAGATGTGCTTCCCATCCAAGAACGCACTTGAGTTTGACATCGGACAGTATTGGCAACCACTTGTGGAATCACCGTTGAGTAAATATCCTCCCGTTCTTCCCACGAAGGCGCCAGCGTAAGATAGGCAGGTTTCACCAGAAGGAGGACTAAATGTGGTAATCTCTCTCGACGAACATTGGATTGCGACATTTGATGCAGTTGCACCAATAAGTCCACCTAATAAGTACGTATATGGGTTTACGTAGTCTGCATGCTGTCAGATAACATTTCGTTTGATATCTTCCACTTACACATGAAATACTCCCAGAAGACAGGTTGTTTGGCGTAGTCAATAAAGATGCCATTGATGAAGAATAGTAATATGATGATAAATGGCATTATGTCCATGGTGAATTTAGCATTCGGTGACATTGTACACATCCATGCGGCAAGCCAGCTGGTGAAAATAAAAGCCTCTATAATCATCAGGAATGTTAGAGCAGCTGGCGATCCTAATCTAAAGTCGCCATCGGACGTGTATGAGAACGCTATTGGCCAATACCAAATTACCCAGTACACTATTCCACAACCAACGGCATAAGGAAGTTCACACAACAAATATGATGTGACGAAACTGTACCAGGAATATACTCTTGAAAGGTTTTCCCGACTTTTGAATACCTCATAATTGATAAAGAATTTGGGCGCTGCCGACACTATACTAAAAGGAGGAATAAGAAGAACGAGGAAGGCTGAAAAGCTTCTTTCAGTCATGTTCTGTATCGACGTTCCATTTTTGAAGAAAAGAAATCCGTTGAGGATGGCTATGCTGACCGTTATGAAAAGTTGACCATAAGCATAGGATGAATCACGCCAATAGTTGCGACTCATTCTTTGGATCAAGAGCTTAAGTTGAACATGAAATGGTTGTGAGTAAGTCCTCGTCATAGCCTTTGTCTGTTCCTTTGGTATCTCTGACTTCTCATTAATTATTCTGTTTACTTCTGCTTCAAGTTCAGCGGCTTCTGGGGAGTTTCTATAGGCATTAACGAAATCAAAAGGTTGCCCATTAGCGTCACGTCCGTAAGCAATCATTTCGATGGCATATTCAGCAACGTTCTCATGAGCTTTACATTCACGAGCACCGATGCGCTTAAAGTAGTCAACAATAGCGCTACCGTTATCGCCAACGGGGCCCTGATAAACGACCTTCCCACCAGGAGCAAGCAAAAGGAGACGGTCGAAAAATTCTGTGAAGAGCAAGCTTGAAGGTTGGTGAATTGTACATAATATAGCTTGACCAGCATCTGCAAGCTTGTTCAGGAAACGTCCAATTGAGTATGCTGATTGTGAATCCAAACCTGAAGTAGGTTCATCTAAGAAAAGAAGCACATCTGGTTTGGCCGCCAATTCAACAGCTATAGTAACTCTCTTGCGCTGCTCAACACCTAAACCTGCTTCAGGTGAGCCGATGATAGCGTCCTCGATATCCTGCAATTCAAGTAGATCGATGATTTTATCAACATAGGCAAGAACCTCCTCACGAGGTGTTTCACGTGGCTGTCTGAGTATAGCGGAGAATTCGATACTTTCACGAACGGTAGCAAATGCGTCATGCAAATCACCTTGTAAAACAAATCCAGTCCCTCTTTGGAAAGAATTTAATTCAAGCGGTTTACCGTCAATCAACATATCACCAGTGATAACACCCGTCGCCATTCTTTGTGAGAGTGTGTTTAAAAGTGTAGTTTTACCCGCGCCAGATGCACCCATGAGAGCCGTAATGGTACCAGGTTTGACATATCCAGTGATTTTATCAAGAAGTCGTTTTTCTCCAGCAATAGTTGTAACCGTATACGTCACATTCTTGAAAGTGAAATCAGCGTCAGATGGATTGATGGCTCCAACTTCAATATCCTTATTGCCCTTTTCCTTGGTTGTTTGTGGTGGGCCACTTTCAATATCATCTGGCTTCTCGATTTCCCTAGCCTTTGATTTACCTTTGTCCGTTTTTGCGAAGACAGTTACCCCACCTTTGCCACCTGTGTGATTAAAATATTCGGTAAAGATAGCGGTGACTATTAAATATCCAACCAAGAAAGCACTGATGTAGCCCAAGTTGTTCCAGAGATGAGAATATTTATAGTCGAATGCCGCATCAACATAATCATCGCCGAGAATCGTCAAGCTACCAGGTCTATTACCTTGGATACCACATGACTGATATTGCTCTTCTGCACCATTTACATCATTTGGTACAATATCTGACGGATCACATTCAATATTGACATTATGGAATTGATTCACTAATAAGCTCTCGAAATTGTATGGAAGGGGATTGACCCAAGAGATCCATCTGAACCAATTTCCAATATTGTACCTTGGGATTGTGTATCCTACTAGAGTGAACGCGATTGAGAGTAAACAGACGTTGTACCTAAAACAGTAGCGATAAGTGAAAATACTCAAGTTGTTTTTCGACTTACCTGATAGCACTGGTGAAATTAGATGACATGCTCGCGACGGCTTTATACAGTTGATTAAATGTAACTGCGTTGAACGAGACAAAACAGAAGTATGTGAAAAATTTACCAGCAGTATAATCGAGTGATCCGAGGAAATAAACCACAATGGAAAACACCAATATACCAGAAACAATAACAGGGACATCGACTAAGAATGTTGCGAAAGTAACAGCACTGGGATGATAGAATGCAAATTCGTTGCTCTGTTTTGCTATAATTTCACGGCCCATGCAAGCATTCCATACTTCTGATAGCTGTACCCAACAAACAAAGACTGTTGAAAAGAAACAAACACTACCTTTAGCAAAAACACTTCCAGAACCAGATTGGTCATAAAAAAGGGACGATATAGTTAATGCCGAGAAAAGTATCGTAGCGAATTTAGTTCTTAAAGCGGCTATTTGGCTTCTCTGTAATTGAATTTCCCTAACCAAACAATAGTAGATTTGCTCAATGAAAGAAACCGTGTATGGTGAAGTCTTTGCCATACGTCTTTTCTTGTCTTCGCGAACGGAAGTCTTGAAGTCGCCTAGGTGATTATTTTCAGCATTAAATGCTTGATCAGTAGATGCAACAGCCGCTTGGTAGTATTGAGAATCTTTGTAGACCTTTTCCAGCTCTTCTGGTGTACGTGGAGCGCGGCTTTCCCAACCTGGCTTAATTGTACGTTCATAGATATCAGTAACACTAGTCAAGAAATCCGCAGAGGTTTGACGTGGTGGTTTGTAGAAACCGATACTTTCGAAGTATGAGCATGCCTCGTTAGCTGGACCATAATAAATACAGCGACCATCATCAATAACGCACACCTTGTCAAAAAGTTCGTATATACCTTCACCAGCTTGATAAAGTGTCGCGATTGATGTACCACCGGTGATATCTGTAATAATTCTCAAAGAGCGCACGTAATCAACAGCTGTGGTAGCATCCAACCCACGAGTGGAATTGTCCCAACACATTACGGAAGCTCTTGTGACAAGTGTCTCAGCTATAGATACTCTCTTGCGTTCACCACCAGAGACTCCCCTGATGAAATCGTTTCCTACGACTGTGTTGGCTGTGTGTTCAATACCGAATATCTTCAATAGTGCATCGAGGATATATTTCACATATTCCGATCTTCTCATGCCATTTGGTCTAATACGCGGTACCCTAACGGTGAAATTAGCGCATGTTTATGTACCCATGGTTACACTTACTTCTGACGTATTGCAAACTCAAGTGTTTGAGCAACAGTGAGAGTTGGATAGTGTAGATCTTCCTCGGTGTTCATAACGATCTCCCCACGATACTTCTCTTTAACCTCTTGGGGAGATAAGCCGCCATAGGTGAGATCACCTTCCACGCTTACATACTCATGGTGTCTGTTTGCAAGAGCCTTGAGGAAGGTGGTGCATCCACTACCAGGTTTACCTAACACCAGCATCATTTCATTTCCGAGTGCACCAGTGAAATCATGAATCAGCGGATGGATTGGTGTCTTTTTTCCAATCACGTCTAACTTTGGGAAGTAGCCAGTTATGAAATTATAGACGTCTGGTCCAAAAGTTCCTAAAACTGCCTCGGGGAAGGTTTTCACAAAGGTAGATTCCCCTCCAGCACCATTCACACGTAGATTCTTCCATGCCAATCCCAGATGTTTATTACTTGTTTTACCTGCTTCTACGAGCTGTTGTTTGTCGTTGGATAAAAAACCATGTAAATCAAATCTTCCTTCGCTGGGGTGCTCGTTGAGTGTGGTTTCAGAGGACTCTTCAGCTGTGTTTTTGATACTTTCATTGTCATCTCTACTGAGTTGTTTGCTAAGCTTACGATAAACCTCTTTTGATTTGTCTATATCAACTAAGTTATTACCTTTGTCTATGAATTGGTCTTCCATGATTGAAAATGTTTAAGTAGTGTTTACGAAAGGTTGGAAGTATTGAAAGGTAGATTATAAACGAAAAGATTAGTCAATCTGGATTTCACCACCGTATTAATAATCTTCGAAAAACCTTCTACTTGAAAGTGACACGACATAATCTTAAGCGGATATTAATTATCTGGCTTTGAATTATGTATTAAGCACTTTTTCCTTACCTAAGTACCATTATTTGATATTTTGTGCTCCGGAATCCTTGATATCTCAACAATATGCGAATATATTCCTGCTCGGGGAACATTATCTGTACTATTGAGTCACTAGGATTATATTTTACTTGCGTATTTTGTTCTTTTATAGATTCCTGAAATTCCCGCCCAATTTTTTTGATTACAACTGTGATGCAATGAAATCTATATCGGAGTTATGTAAAAGCTCGAGAATGCATTATTAATGACCTTTGTAAATATACTTGATCTCTGTATCTGTATTCTATAGGCCATTTCATTATAATAAAAGTTCTAATTTCATCAAGTGATCGGTCAACGTCTGGTGAATGATATGGAGATATATGATGAAAGTGTAATTTTGACCTATCCCTATACTTTCAGGGTTTAGGTTACTAGTTTTAAATACAATGGGACTATCTCATAAAAATGAAATTGAATGCATTGTAGGCCATAATAGATATTCAATAATGAGCTAGTTAGAACTACAAATTTGGGTGTCTTTTCATTTGAGTTTGTCTACGTGAATTATATTCGTGACATCAGTTAAAATCGTACAATTATGTTATCTTTCAGCGAATTGTATCATACGCGTTTATATATATATATATCATATATAGATTCTAAACTCGTTTGATTGCTTTTCCTCTTCTTCGCACTTCAATAAGTATCGTCTTCCTTGTATCCTTTGGTAGGTACCCTTCGTAAATATTGTTCGTATGTATGAGATGATAATATTGTTTGCCCTTTGGAAGACACTTAATACTGACAAGGCTTAAACTATGCAAATAATACAGACATCAGCGTATCTATCCCAACATTTGGCTAAAACGGCCTAAGGTTATTAGTTCTGCCGCCACTAGAATCTTGAATACCCATCAGTATTACTGTTTGAGTGCTTCACTTAAAAATGCAGGTTGATTGTGTGGACCCTTAGAATTTAGGAACTCTACCTTACGGACTGAGTAGCACTGCTGTGTGGAGTCTTGGAGAAACTACTTACGTATATTTTATGCTGTGATTTATTTCACGTGCGCCCTTAATCTGAAATGATCCCAAAATTTTATTCTTTTATGTCTACTATGTCTAGAAAACATAGGACTACCATTGACATTTCCTCAGTAGAGTGGATTGGTTCTTTAGTATTCCTTAGCATAAAGTACCTGAGGTATCTAGCAACGACTCATTAGTGCTCCTCTCCAGCATATGCGCGGGATCATTCGTGTCTATATGAAACACAGCAACCAGGACCAACTCACATTAGACAGTTCTACATTGGAAAATACGTGTTTTAAATAAATAAAGGTACATCTTGGCGCCACAGATATAAAAGCTGAGTAACTCAGGCTAGTTCATTATCACAAAGTTATCAGAACGAGTTAAAGCAAGATATGAAATATTTTACATTATCAGCCGCATTATTATCAGCAGTTACTTGCGTTACGGCTGGAGGTCCTGTAGTCTGCACACATAATGTTGGTGGAGCTACCTGTGTTGACCATCAAGTCACAAAAGATTGTTGTGCAGCAGTTGACCACTCTGCTCGTTATGACGAAGTCTTCTCACAATGTATTCCATGGGCTATTAATGGTCTTAACACTGGCGATATGGCAGAATGCTGTGAGAGCAGAGGTGATTCAAGCAGAGCGGAGGATGTTGGCGCAGAGCACGTCGTATGTTAAGAAACTAACATCGAAGTTTTAATATGTCTTTCAGTGAGTCAACAGCGACTCAAGGATGTGGAATATGTACTATACATGTGAAGACTATTTAGGATACAAATTCTTGAGAAAGTGTAATTGAGATAGCTTTGAAATTTAGTGGATTCTATGTATCGTAAACCTCTAAAATGATTAAGTCTGAAGTTATTTAGCACTCTGACCCGATATGGGTACTAAAAAAGAGACCATAGGTTAGGCATATTCAGGCTGGAGCTAAGCTTGGATTAACCAATAAAGGCTATGTTTCAATTGTTGCGCAATTGACATCCTTCATGTGAAATTAGGTCAGGCATTATTTGCTTTTCTTCCTGCTTCAGACTTAGCTGCTTTGGTTGTCTTTCCCTCCCAATTTGGCCAAAAATTGTGTGTGCTAAGGTACATATCATGAGCGTATTTCTAACTACTAATACCGAAAGTCAACAAAACATGCAAATCTCGACATCAGTTGCTTAGTATATAGCGAAATAAGAAACATATACTTTCATACGTTTGATATGTATGTCATAAGGATACTTTATGTACCTTATTGAGTTACAGGATTCATTTTCACGACTCAGGCCTGAGGGGGAACACGTTTATAAGGGAATGATACGAATTATGTCTCTCAGTGATAGCATTTGAGCCATCTAGTCTTAACCGTATTTTATATAGTGAGTATAAATGTGAAGATTTTATTTGCGCATGATATTCGATCAAAAGATAATTGCCAACTCCAGTTAGTCGGAATAAAAGCATATATAATCAAAACAAATATATGTGTATGCATAGGGAAGCGCTAAAAGCATTTCGCTGTACACGTTTATCATTGGTAATATGGGTAATCAATATAACCGACCTCTGTACCACCGTAGAATGATGTACGATCGTAGTTTTCATTGAGAGGGTGGTTCTTGAGAGCTCTATGTGGCAAATCTGGGTTTGAGATGAAAAGCTTTCCGAACGCGACACCTTCGTCGTATGGTTGGGCCGCTCTTTCATTTGCTGTTTTTAATGAGTAATCAGTGTTACTTATCACTGTTAAACCACCATCTTTGATGATTTTTTTTAAAGTGTCGCTATTTTTGAAATCTTCTTCCGATGAGCCAATCAATGGGTCAACAAAATGGACATATGCAAGGTTCTTGTAGGTGCTGACAATATGTTCACACCATGGTACAAAAGTTTCCATAGGATTATCTTCCCTCATCCCTTGCCATGCAGAAAAGGCTGAGATACGAATAGCAGTTTTTTTCTCTCCAATTGCATCAACTACTGCAGCAAGAACTGCCTTAGGGAATTTGAGAGTATGTGCTGCGTATGCGTCGGTGCGCCTGTTTGTCTTTTTTTGGATAAATTGGTCGACAAGGTAGCCCTAAAGCGGTCAGATGGATACATACAGCACTTATTTCACACTCACATTTGCGCCGTGGATTTCAACACCATCAAATTTGGCTGCGTTAATGCAATTGGTGGCTGCCTGCTTGAAGTGACCTATGAACCTCTCGATATCATTGACAGACATCTCTTTGACGCGTCTATCTCTGTATACGTCGTCAGATGGACCTTTTAATTCAGCGTCGAGGAATTCTGGAACTGCTACACGTCTATTTGAGTTAGATATGTCTTATTATTCGAGATTCAGTTCCCACCCTAAAGCGAATATCTGAGCAAAGAAATAGCCGCCATGCTGGTGTACTACATTGGTGACATTCTTCCAAGCAGCAATTTGCTCTTCATTGTAGATTCCGGGGGCATGATCCAAGCCGTGGGCTTCTTCTGCAATAACGCAAGCCTCACCAATCAATAAGCCATTTTTAGTTGTACGCTGCTTATAGTATTCTGTAACGTAATCTCTCAGAATGCCGTTTTTACCTTGTGTTCTCATTCTCGTAAGAGGTGCGTGAATTATCCGATGTTCGACATTTAAGTCGCCAATTCTAATCTCTTTGAATAAGTCCTTATGAATTGTCATTATTTTAACTTTCGGCTGTCTAGAGGCAGTCGCTCAGGTAAGATGATTGTACGAGCATTCGTTGAAGTTGATTTTTTATTTCATCTTTCAAAGTCTTTTTTAACAAACATCCTCGTTGGCTTTTATATTTTAGTTACGCCATCAAACCAGCAATCATGCCCAAAAATGAGAATACGCTCAAGCGGGGACAGGCTTGTTTGCACTGTAGAAAGCGTAAAGCTGTGTGTATATTCTTATCTATTAAATATCTAATCTCACCCTCTATAAGCGATGTGACGGTGGTGAGATGTTTAGCTGCCTCTATAGAGAACTATCTAAAACTATATACAGCCAAACCAGCATGTATTTCCTGTGTCAAAGGTAATCATCAATGTGTATACGTAGATACTTCGGCGTTGTCTACCTCTCGTCGCCGAGATAAAATATCTGATTTAGAAGAGCGCATACGTGGGTCAATAGTGACTTTTAATATAAATTCTAACAAAATAAAGGTGATTTGGAAAATAAGTTAGCTACACAGCATTTATCAACGAGTACATCATTTGAAGATACCACAAACGCACCGTATTTTGAATTTTCATCACCAGAACCCTTATTAGCGACATCAAACTGGCCATATCCACCTATTGATATCACTTTACACCTCATTCAGGTATTCTTCACCTGCTGTCCAGTGGAATCAAGTCATTTACACAAGCCAACACTCTTACAGACAGTTTTACTTCCAATGACACACCCAGAAGCACCTCACCCTGCGTTAATGTATGCAATCTTTGCTAGTGCGAGTAGACATTCTTTGCGGACCACAAATTCAAAGCCGCGTGCAGCGAATGGGTGGACAGAACGTGCATGTAATAGTACTGGTAATACGTTTTTGGACATGTCATTGTCGACAGCTGCCAATTATCTCGAAGTTGAAACAAAGTCACATACCAGTTTGAGAGATAAGCTAAAACTGATAAGTGCAATAATTATTTTAACTCATCTAATGCATCGTGAGAATAAATGGACCGATTTACATCAATTCAATACTCTTGGTACCAGGGCTATGGTGTCATTTAAGCTTCATTTAGATGAGAAATTGGAAAATCCGAAATCAAGGTTGATAGCATCATCTCAGAGCGACCTTGAACGTGAACAGCGCAAAAGATGCCTCTTTTTGGGCTTTTTATTTGATACAATATATGCAAGTACTACAAGTATGTTTCCCTCAAACTTAAATTCTCGTAATATCTATATCAGATTGCCTGTTTCTACTCAAATGTTCAACCAAGCCTCCCATGATAGTATCATACCTGAATTGGAGCCATTTACGTATTCGTCTGACTTTCTTTCCAATCACAGTAGCGATGACAACTTTCATTGCCTTATAAAGGCAGCAATTTTGCTCGATAAAGTAAACGAGTTCTTGCATGGATCTATTGGTGAACTTGTCGAATCATCGTTATCCTCATCAAATCAATTACCCTCATTCAACAAACTCGACAAAGTTATAAGCGAACACAAGGCACAGTTACCTGATTATTGGGATAGAAACAAAAATCTTGACATTTTGATGTACTTTGCGCATATGATTGTACATGATGGGACAATGAAACTTCATAATGGTTACTTTAGAGAACCAACCTCAAGAAAACGACTCATGGGGACTGTTAGGGCTATAATTAGCCCATTATACATTTTATTGAACCTCTCATTCGATTTTACACGGTTACCCACATTTGTTATTAGTATTTACATCGACGCTTTCGACATACTTATCATAGCGCACAAGAATTCAGATGAATCAGCCCAAGCAAAAATAGTTAAAGAATTGGGAACTATTATGGAAGTCATCGAAAGGATCTCTGAAAAAATTCCCCATGGTGTCGAAGCTCTAAAAAATCTAAATCAATCTTTAAAAAAGAATGGCATTCCTTTAGGTACACATCCAGAGCAGGTTGATGAATCTTCACTTACTGTTTTTAACACGATTATGCAACAAGTTAACAATTATGACGTTACCCCGCAGTTTGGGGAAGGTGTTTTAGATATAACGGCAACGTCACCACTTGAGATTCCACCTGGAATGTCATTCCCCACTAACGATGAATTCAAATGGATGAATACCGATGATAATTTCAATGATGCTTTTCTTGATACTGCTTTTATAGACGGAAATGTTTAAAGTATAATAATATTTCTAATTTGTTGTATTATTATCCTGTACTGATTAAAATGGGACTTTATTATCATGTATGAGCGATTCCATCGGGAATGATGAAAGACGTGACACGACGAAGCTTGTAAAGTAGATTACATCAGATAAACTGATGACTGGAGGTACGAATAGTAGCAACTCGCACAATTAAATTCACTAATCTCCTTCAGTACAGAGACAAGTGTACTCTATAAGGTTCAAGAAGAGTGCTATTGATCAACAAATATTGCAATATGGACGTAAACTCGATGAGCAGGGTAGGTTATGTTAAGAATTATAACGCATACATCATAATAATTTAGGTGCTAGGATCATTGATTTATCACCCGATGGCTTCTTCAAGCATGTTCAAGCAATTGTACCCGATGGTATTGACGTAGGAAGACTGGACGCTGATAAGATAATTGAGAGCATAAAGAAGAGCAGCCTTTAGACATATACATATATAATGTTGGTTATTAGCCTATCAACACATTTTCCTATATGTCTATGACTGGTTATACCTCTAATTCTCACGACATACTTCTCTCGCCGACTTTATGCCACCGGTCAACAAATAGATGGTACTTATCCTGTATTTTGTGTGTGTGTTTTCTGCTTTTCGTTAATCAATTACTCGGTAGTATGATTTTACACCATGCCAATACTGTACCCGATATGACTACCTTGCAATTGGTAATATAAAAACTAAGCTAAAAGAGCCTACGAAATGCGGTATAATATTTACTAGCAATTTCTGAGACACAGAAACGTAGAATACCTAGTAATCGCCTTTGAAATCCCTTGAATCGCAACAACGACCATTAAAACCTAGGATGGAGCCTCTCGGGCCACAGCTCAGGAAGCATCCTTCTAGCGATGACTTGCTACGGGATTTCAAAAACGAAATTGATTCATCTAACCCTCCACCGGCTTATCAAGCTACACAACACCCCTACGCTAATACAAATAGCAGTCTATTAAAGCAGAAAAAAGCATTCGAAGATAGCATAGGCGGTGGATGGGATAAACTCGCTGATGATAAACTCAGAGATAGTTATTACGACGATTCCTTCGATTCTCACACGCCCTACCAACCGTTAGCACCTCCGCAAGTTCAAACCCGCCCACGATCACACACACAGTCAACGATGCTCGACTCTAGCGCTGCGTCCGGTTTCTCTATCGTAGTCCTCGGTTCTCAGGGTGTCGGTAAAACGACAGTCATACGAAAGGTAAACAAATAAAAAGCATAAAATTAACACACGTTTACGCGTTTTTTAGGGTTTTAGAAAATATGGACTCTCCTCTGCTACACTGCTTTCACCCCCTGAAAAAGGTACTTTTCACCCTGCATGTCACTGCATATTTTGACGATTACTCATAGGCAAATGTCAGTCTAGACAAAGCGTGATTGAAATTCACGGTCAGCCAAAAAATGCTATCATCTATGAAATTGGTTTTGCAGGTCTCAACTTCAAATCTCCAGAGATTTTTCCGGAATATGTGCAATCTATAGACGCCGCTATAGTTTGTTACGATTCAACTGATGAGAGTTCATTTATTGGCATTGTTGAACTTCTACATAGACTCTCGGAGATGGGCTTACCTAGAGTTGTATTAGCCACAAAATCTGGTGAAGTGTTCCCGGGAAAGCCGACGATTAATCCCAACACAGTGGTTAGTATAATAAGACAATTGGACACTGGCTTGATTGAAACAAATGCTCTCTCAACAGATGGAAGAAGACGCATGCGCGGTGCGTTCGATTGGATATTCAGAAATATTCGTAAACAACGTAAAGAAGTCAGAGATAGAGGTCTATCTAATTCTTCTGCATACTCAGCTGTTCCTCATCAGTTCACTCAAATACCACTATCTCCTGAAGAACAATCTCCGGAGCAACTTCAAGGTGCAAAGCTTATACCACCAGGAGTACACAATGATACCTTAAGAATGAGCGTAAGCAGCGCTGAATGTGATGCTATCATGAGTGAAGCTACAAGAGGTTTGGTTGATGTTAACTCGCCTACGTACTCCACCTTCAATGGATTTTCTAATCATTTATATGATACTTTCAGTGATAGCGATATTGATGAGAAGGCAACTGAAGTTAATTACGGACGTCCTTCTCTGTTGCGTAATTTTACTAATGATAACGATAACTCTCGTTTCGTAACCCTTCACGACCTCCTCAACAAACTCATTTTTGCTGCCGTTTCTGGTAATGATCAGGAGTTTGTTAAGTCTTTTTTCAGTACATATAGGAAATTTACAAGGGCTTATGTGGTACTACAAGCAATGCTAACTCGTTTTGATGAAGTTTCTAGAGATTGTGACAGTGTTTTAGTCACATTCACTCAATCGCGTTTACTCACACTTCTCGACAGATGGATTCGACATTACCCAGGGGACCTATTGTCACCACTCCATCGTCATCTTATACAGGAATTCTTCCAACGCGCCACTTCAAATATTAATGTCATACATTATGCGCCAATTTTGAAAGCACATTTAGATCGTCCAAGAGCAACCTATGACCCCGAATTTAAATGGTCAGCTGATGAAGATGACTACGAAAAGGAATTTCAAATGAAAGTCAACCAGTCTGAGATCCAGTTTGAAGATTCTGACTTACCACTTGCACTTTCATTCAAACGTAAATCAAATGACGCGGGCGTGATCGTACCTGATGGTTCAAGCGAAGGGAAAACTTCACGTAGAGGTTCATCTGCCTTTAGAACTTGGACTTCTAGACAAAGATCTGATAGTGATGCTAGCAAGGTAACGACATCTAGCAATAACGGCCCTGCATCTTTATCATCAAATTCATCCACTGGTGTACCATCACAGCGCCGTAGAACAATAGAAAAGATTGCTCTTGCGATACTTGATCCAGTATTACCATTGAAACCAGTTGAGATGGCACATGAATTGACCAGAATTGAATGGAAATTGTTCTTGAACATCAACGATAGAGACCTTCTAAGACATGCTCTACTTACTAGTAAAGATAGGGATGAAGATTCAATTGATGTGCAAATTAGACATTTCAATTACCTTACTCTATGGGTTGCTAACTTGGTCCTCTCACAGACCAAACCTAAGAGCAGACTGAAGGTTGTCGAATTTATGGTAAATATGGCAGAAGAGTTGCGTAACATCAACAATTATCATACTATGCACGCTGTGTTATCAGCTTTTGATGTTCATTCTATTTTTAGATTGATGAACAACAGAGTAATTGATCTGGAATCAAACGAAGAGTTGTTTATGAAATTCAAAAAGTTAAAAGTATGTTCTACATTTCCACACTTTTCATCGTCCTGACAAAATTCACAGCTGATCTTCACTTCTGATCGTAGTTCTGCTACCTACAGAGAAGTACTGCGCAACACCCCATGTCCATCCATACCATACTTGGGTGTACACTTACAGGATATTTTAGCAAGTGATACTGCTAACGTAAATATAAAGAAGGGACCAAACGGTGAAAACTTAATTCACTGGTCTAAATTTGCTTTAATGGGTGAAGCATGCAAACAAATAATGAAACGCCAAAAATATCAACATGACTTTACGTATAACGCTAAAGCGAATGAACTCATTATGGATATAACATTACTAGATGAAGATGAATTATTCCAACGTTCAAAGCACCTTGAACAAATACACAGGTCAAGTTATGGCGGCCCTGGTCAAGCAATGATCAGTGCATCCGCATCAACCTTTAAAGAAAGTCTTAAAAGTGCATCGAGTTGGAGCAATAACATCAGTAATCCTGAAAATAATGGTAGTAATGACAAGAAATTTCTAAAATTAGTCAGAACGGCAATATCAAGTTCTGCAAATTAAAACTAACGTAAAATCTTATTCAAAATGCAAACGACATTAACGTCTTTTTCGGTAAGACCAGACGTTTTTCAATGGAATGAACAGTAAATATTTCTCATTTTCTTATGATTCACGATATGTATTGTATACCAAATAAATTATACCCTATAGATAAAACTAAGCTAGGTGTGTTTTAAGTTGTATTTTATCGCATGGAATATCCTTATGTGATTGGTTATATGTTGATAGTTTAAAGGACTTTGCAAGTTTATTGGCACACAAATACTGAATAATCCACTAAACTACCAACAAAATCCATTCATGAAAGTACATTCAGAATCGGAAACACAATTGATGAAAAAAAGACAAATCTCTCCACAGGTAGGGTAAATGCTATTTAGATTAGGTAATAATTTCGCTGATTGTTATTTTTATGTAAAGGAAATATCTTTATACAAACTAAAATAGTTAGGTATTGTCTTGCGAAAACAAGGAAAGTAGCGTACTATCTAATTGTAGAGTTTCAAGTAATTCTTTACTTAATCACTTATATTTTTCAACTTGTATCTCAATCAAAGTAGACATACATGGTATTCAAAGTATCAGATATGATGACCTTTAGTGAGGCATGATGCTGCTCGCTTTCCTCAAGTGATATGCGCAGTCAAAATAGGAAGTAGCTCATTTATTATACTTCTAAACAATTTAAGAGATATAATATTAAAGTGACGATTCCAATATGCTTATCATTGAGAAGTTGCTCAATGAACCATTTGGAGCGCTTCATCTAATTATCCAAACACCCATTCATATATCAGTAGGTATGATAATGCTATTGCTTTTGATAATCACTTAGTCGATCACGAATATAATACAATCAGCTATAGTAACTAGGGAAAGCAATACTTGATACTTCTACATAACTGAACCGACGAAAGCAATTCACTTTGACACCCTGCTAATATAAGAGACACAAAAGACAATTTTAATAACCTCTCAGAACTTTAACCAAAAGTTATGTCAATATCATGAAAGTAATTGGTACTGACAGTGGGATAAGCTGTGGGTCTATCTCAATTGATGTACAAAGTAGAAGGCCCTGTTGAAGATGTGCTCATTTATGATAAAGATGCCCCTCTAAGATGTTCGAGGGACGACAGCAAACCAGTTTCATATAAATAAATAGTAGTAAAATACATTATTTATGTAGCTTTTCGACATCCAGAATGTCTAATCTATCATGGTGCATCGATGCATGAATTATGCTGACAGATTACCTTGAGACAGGAAACGCTAGTTGATACAAACTGTCTTTCTTGATTCACATGCTAATTGTATGGATTTCTTTCCAAATTCCATTTTGAAAACGAATCATTTCTCGCTAAACGTCACATCATCTTCGCGACTAAGAATGAAGCTAAAATTAAGTTCCAAGATGGACTAACTTGTAAAAGCATACAATCACTTATACCACTTTATGAACACTCCGGGTGAGAAGCACCTTGAAGAGAAGCATAACGTCAGTAACACTGCACCAAGCTCAGCGAGCACGGTGACGTTTAACAGTAAGAACATCAGCAAGGACAACTTGAGTGATGTTGCGGTTAAGGAGGAGAGAACGGACGGTTTGCAAGACCAAACGAATTTGCTTCCGAGAAAACAAGTCATTATCGTCTTCTTTGGTGTTTGCTCAGCTTTGTTTTGCAGTATACTTGACCAAACTGTGGTGTCAACAGCTATCCCTAGTATTGGCGCATATTTTCAAGCAGCCGATAAAAGCAGTTGGTGCGTTGACCAACTCTTACGACGTCTGGCTAATCAAGATATAGGGTAGCAACATCATATTTGCTAACAACGACAGCAGCCATGCCAGTACATGGCCGCCTATCTGATTTATTTGGTCGTAAATACGCATTATTCGGTTGTTTGACTTTTTTTTTTCTTGGAAGCCTTGCATGCGCCGTCTCACAAACGATCGAACAATTGATCATATTTAGAGCCATTGCTGGTATTGGAAATGGTGGTATAAAAACGCATGTTCATGTTATTATATCTGATATCGTACCATTAAAAGAGAGAGGAAAATATCAGGGAATCCTCACCGCATGGACCTGTTTGGCTAATGGTATCGGTCCACTTTTGGGAGGCGTTTTCAGTGAAACAATTGGCTGGCGTTGGTGTTTCTGGATTAATCTTCCCCTCGTTGGTATAGCACTTGCTGTTCTTCAATTCCTAGTTCCATTTAAGAAGGTGACGGGTGATTGGCGTGCTAAGATGAAAAGGATAGATTACGCTGGATCAATCATTATGTTTACCTCGGCCGTATTGATTTTGATATCACTCAACTGGGGTGGAAACAAGTACGCGTGGGATTCAGCTCCTGTTTTGGTTTGTTTAATTATTGGTTTACTCTTAATGGTTGTTTTCGTATTAGTTGAAAACTGTAAACGTATCGTCAACTTGCCTATCATACCGATGTACTTATTTCGTAATGTTTCAGTTTCAGCGTCATACATCTGTACATTTTTTGGTGGTATGGGCTACTTTGGCGCTTTATTCTACCTTCCACAGTACCTCCAAGTGGTTCATTCTTACTCTGGAACAGTTTCAGGTGCACTAATGCTTGCACTCATGGTGACTCAGACAATAGTTTCATTCCTTGCTGGTTTGGTTGTTTCTAAAACTGGACACTATATATCAATTATAAGAACCGGATTTTCCATCTATGCGGTCGGTTGTGGACTTTATATCTCTTTAACGTATAACTCATCCCTAGCAAAATTTATCGGTTACAGTATCATAGCTGGTATCGGTGCTGGTAATACCTTTCAAACAACATTAATTAGCGTCCAAGCCGCCGTTAAGAGACAGGATATGGCTGTTGCAACTGGTGGCCGTAACTTCCTTAGAATGCTTGGTGGTGTTATGTCATTAGCATTTTGTGATACCATTCTTAGGAATACACTGCAGAAGGGCTTATCTAAGATGGGTCAAACTGATGAATTAATCGCAGCTATTACGTCCAACCCTATCGATATCAAGAACATAGTGTCGGAAGACCAAGTAATTGCTACTCTTGGGATGTATTGTAATGGTGTACACAACATTTTCGCAATGCTCACAGCTACATCTGGTTGCGCTTTCCTACTGTCTTTCCTTATCAAACAATGTAAGTAAGCAAAGGGTCTTGTAAATTATTGCTAAAACAAACATTCAGATAGCTTAGAAAGAGATGATGAAAAGCAACTGAAAGAAGAGGGCAAAAAGTTTGTGGAAGAGCTGGAAAGAAAGCGCAAAAAACCAAAAACAAGTTCTATTCAGAAGGCATGAAGTAAAATACCTCAATTTATCTAAGGTTCGTGGTTTGAATGAAAGTAAGGAAGTGAAATCTTTTTAACATCTCCTAACCAAAACTAGTTTAATCTTTGCATATACTTTTTGTAATGTTGGTTTAGTTAATATAGATTAATACGTTTAATTAAAAAAAACAGTTGTTTTATCTCAACAATATCTTAATAAACTGGTAATAAACAAAAACGCTAAATCGTTTTATAACGAGAGCATCATGACTAAGCGCTCAGATTTACTTCTTGAAGCACATGTTAAGGTAAAAGGTCTAAATAGAATTAAAAAATACCTTCAGTGTAGAAAATATTCATTGATTGTTTTCTGAAATAATCAACTTGACTACCTTGAATGTATATGTACTTATATAAACCATAATTACTGTAATATTCAAAAATAGTATCTTATACTTCGCCTGACAACCACATATCCACGACTCATTCCCAAATGTTTGTCTGTATTGTTTGCTCAATTGTGAAGTTCTTATTACGAAAGCTAGACCAGACTTTAAACTTCACATTCATCGTAAACAATGAAAACTTCAAACGTCGCTAGAGTTGAGCAAGCTAGATGCACCTTCAAGTGAGTGTGCATGTCTCACAATAAACTCTTTCTAACTTTTACAACAGCCGATTAACGAATTTTAACAAGCATTTGCTCAGACAGTTACAAATGCGCGAAGCTATTCTCATGCAACTTAATATCCATCCGAATACCATTGAAGATCAGATTTTGAAGCGTACCTAAGGAGCGTTGATAATACCAGGGAAGCAAACAAGGAAATGTGTAAGATATCAGCTTCTAACTCACTAGAACCTTGTTTTGACAAAAAAATGTTTCGATTATTGCGGAACCCGTCGAAGAACAGCCAGAAACAGATCAAATTATTAGAGTGCAAGAGATTGCCATTATTGAAGATGCTATTGAGACTATCAAGTATAGCAAGGATCAAAATGATGACAGCACCAAGGAAATGGTCATACGTCAAGACGAAGATACCTTAAACCTCGAGGTATATTTCAAAACACTCCAATGGTTATGTTCAGATCATAAAGACTTGCTTTTCAATTTAGAAGTAATAACAGGCAGCTTTATTAATGACGTGAAGGCAAACTCATATATTGAGGTCACTTCAGACATCCTGAAGCAATCAATGGAAGATGGGATAGGCCTTGTTGAAGTCATTCATTGTAAATTTAGCGTAGGAAGCCTTCCACTCACAGATATGAAGGTAGAGTATCTTGTAAACTCATTCAAAAGACTTGTTACTTATGATAAGAGACCAAATCCTACTAGGAGGTACCTCACATTATTTTCAGGCTGGCTAACAAGCCATGTAACCCAATGTAGTTTTGAATCAAGCTCTATCGAATGTCCGAATCTCATAACTGAAACCTTAAATGAGCCTCCTACTAGTGAAATCCCGATAAATTGCGCAGACTTTGCATTGCACAAGGTCTTTGACGATACGTTCGTGTTTCACTCAGCTGAACAAATTAATGAAATAATGATGAGACATCTTCGGAAACGAGTGGACAGCCATATCCTAATAATAATATTCCTCTTTATCTTGACTGTGGTTTACTCACTTTCTTTTGATACAACAAGCTCAGTTTAAAAATGGAAGCTTATGCCAAACGACTTGTCTCACTAGCTATTACTTTTGGAAGCTTCCTTTTGTCTATTCGAATTTAATTACAGACCCTATATGTAAAACTATTACTCTATTTTAATACTTTTAATTGTTTTATATAATATGTAGTCTCTATTTCTGAACTGTGTAGAAAACCTATCCGGATCGTCACAATCATACATAAAACTTAAATTTTAGTAGATTATATCAAATTTATTGATACAAGTGCCTAAATCTAACACATTTTTCAGAAAACATTTAGATTGTTTAAAAAGACCGAGTTTTGATTGTATTCCTTTTCATCTTGTTTATCCATTTTATTTCCAAACTTCTCTCTACCATCATTGCTACATTGTTTGTCTTCTTTGTGGCCCTTTTTGATCCTGCTTATCACCATCATGTTTTAACCGTGCTTTTGGACCACCTCGTGCTTCTCGTCTACCTTAGAATCGACATCACTCTTATTTTTCCGGTAGTGGATCTTAACATATTCATGACTTTCGGGTTGCCATATCCTTTTTTCGTACCTGACGATGCCAAATTGCTTGCCTTTATTTTCAGTTTTTTAGTTTGCCTTCATCGTGTTTGTTAGATTTCGACACTTAAGTTTTTCACATTTATCTCGTCACCTTTATTACCTTCCACCAAGCTCGTGAAAATCGCTATGTTGAGATTCCCGTGTTTACAATGTTAAGGAAGATCACAACCTTATCACTCACCTTTGTCATCGGGTCCATACTTATCTGTGCCTTCTTCTGTTAAATTCTGTTGCAATTCTGTTTCCTTTGGATGCTTCTCGAATTGTTGTATGTTAGGGTAATTATCGTACTTAGCGTTATCCTTGCAGTCTACGCTTTTTTTATCACCATGACAATGTTGTTGTGTTCACCTGAAGTTGGAAAACAGTGATAGATGCAACAGCACCACTGAGTGAGAATAGCGATGACTTTTGATGGATTGAAGTAGACCTTAGAACCGTAAGGATGCCAGAGACACAATACAAACCTTATTCATCCAATTTGGTCGCTCATTAACCTCAAATGTTCACACCCATAGTAAACCAACTAACAAGACTGCAAATGCGTGACTGTGTTACCGAATCCACACTGCCTTGAGTGCAACTAGATCAAAGTGCTATTTAAATATATAAACAATCTTTATTTTGAGTGGTAAGTATCTCCCCAAATTTTTCGTCCTTTACTTGCGTTGCCTCTATGTCCACAACCTTAAATGACATTTTATATCGGAAAAAAATAGCATAATATCAAGTTTTAAAAACCTTCTTAAATGAACTGATCGGTTTCACCTTCTAACACATGTAAGTGTTTTTATTTCAATTCCCTAACGAACACATTATATCGCCCAAAAAGGCCCATACGTATTTAAACGAGTACCTAACTCTACATATTTTGACTGAATACATAAACTTTTAGAATTCTACTATCGATTCTTATGCGCATTGGTAAGTTGACATACATACATAATTATTTCCAATCGTAGATTAGATATCATTATTCCACGTCGCCTCGCTGGAACAGAACACCTGCTTAAGCTAGTAGAGTTATTCAAGCTATATCCATAATCAAAGATGTATTTCTTTGAATGATCTACATATTAAGACAGGCGCTTTAATTACAGATTCGAAAGAAAGAGCTGGCAACATTTGGATAGACGTTGAAGTTGATGGGAATTTACTTTTATTACATAGCTTCAAAAATGACTTCACAGTTGAAAAAATAATTAAAGCAAAAAATCCAGATGAAATCGATAATGAAACAACAATGAAGTGTGGCTGACGCATACAACCCTGTAAAATATGGTACCAATTATTTATAGCAACATAAAGTATAGTAACATTTTAAAAAATTTCTTAAATAATTCCGAAATAGTGGGGTCGTGATACGTTATCGTACTGATCATTCATGAATTATAATAATGACAGATTTAAAGAAAATACTAACGCCAAATGCTGTATTTGCTGTAGCTAAACGTACATGGGGATATGATATGGATTTTTACAGCGGATCTTCAGTCAGAACAGCAATAGCGAACAAACAACCACGTTTACTTAGTGCAGATATACCAATTTATTCGTCGAGAGTTACTATATATCAAAATACAAACGCTGATACCCTCTACGCTAACCCCGTAGAATATCCCAATGAGAAAGAGGATGATGATGATAAGAATACATTGGTAGATGATGATGCATCACTAGCTGGAAAAGATGCTTTCGATAAGGACGATTTAGATGATAAGTCAGTTTTAGAAGACGATACACAGCCTGTGTTTGAGATGAACGGAAAACACGCAGTAACTACAGCTTACCGTAGTAAATACATGCGATCAAAGTATACCGTTGAAGTTATAGGATACGATAAACCTGTAACTCTAGAAAGAGGCAGTCACTATCTCTCCATCAAGAAGAAATTCGAGTTAGGCGACGTGCAATACATGGTTTTTGGGAAAAAGAACACCATTTCTATCAAAAATGTCAAAACAGATGATGTTATCTGCACATTTGATATACCAAGAATGTCTAAACGCAAAGCAGGGGTTTTAAGACTATCGATGAGTGGTGAGAGCTCATTATATGAACGTTTAGCGGTATTATCCGTCATGATAGTGGTGAGTCTTAACCTATTAGACTTGAATCTCTTGACATTTTATAGGAAGTTAAGTTCATCTATGAATTGCTGCATGCTAGCTGGGAGGGTGCGATTTATGCTGGTATACAAAATGGTATGGCAAAGGCAACGTCATCCAAAAATAAATACTAGGGCCTCTGCCTTAACACTCGTACATAGGACGATACAAACATACATCAAGTTATACTCTTGAGGCTATTCGTAACTAAATTCGCAATTCACTTTGTATTTACCCTTCGTCGTTATTCGTAATCGATTTAAATCAATAAAATTACTAAAAAGCGCCTTTTGACCATGGATTGTTGTTATCTGGGATATCGCCCGCCAAACTACCTCTATGAGGGCCCCTACCACCTTCTATCGCTTTTCCAGTCTCCACGACGTCTGGTTCTGGTTCCTTCTCACCTTCCTCTAGTGCTTCATTCTCAGGAGCTTTTATCGGTTCGCCTGCGCTGGTGTGTAATTGTGAGTGTCTACGATTTGAAATTGAATGTGAGGACTGCACATTCTCTGGTTTGGGTGAATCTTTTGGCGCTTCGACGTTTTTATGAGCTTCGCTGAATGGGTCGTTGAATGACATTCTATCCTGAGTGTTGCTATTGATCATTGGTGATTGCAGTGAAAGACGGAATCCAATGATATCACAATATCAGATACGTCAATCATAAAATAAAATGTATGAACATTGTGATATAGAATTTGGCTCTATTTGTCTTCCAGTAATGATGCATTAATGGCTGTATGAACAACCTCACTCAAACTCTGAGAGAGCTACTTTATTTCCACATTACCTTTCCAATAGACACTGCCAGTAAGGCGCAATCAGATAATAAACTTGATAGCATACTTTGAAAAGTTGTTTAATTTCGTTTGAAGCACACTATATCATCATGGAACGTCCCACCCGGCTCCTTACATGGATTGTCATAACACCTTATGGACTGACCGGTTGCTCTTTAATATCCATGGTTGGGAGCAATGTTATGTTATTGTCAAAGCATTAGGAAATGTGCAAATTAATCATTATCAGGACAACTGACGTCATTCAAGTTCTACGGAAATGCGTTGATACGAATACAATGTATTAGCATTGTTCGAAAAATAAGTCAGTATAAATTTTGACCTATCAATCAATGTAAAAGCACACTAGGTTTTATTATATTCATAATTTATCTATACAAGTCATAACATGACCATTTATTCCATAGTAATAAGAGTAGTAATACAAAAATATGTTGGTACACATTCTCTATAAATCTAAAGTAAATAATCTTCCATTCTCATCTCACCGTTATTCAAACTAATGAGACACAAGGTTGCATCTTTTATGTGTATATTGAAACTCCTAACTGATATATTACCTTGATATGGTATATCATTAGGATTCTCTGTTCTAGAGAGAACCTCACAAATCTCCACTTGATCTCTTTTAGCGAGTGAATCATTGAGTAGAACAAAGTATTTACTAGCCACCGCATCTGTCTTCCAAAATTTTTTAATATTGAACAAGGCAATCTGCTCCATCGTATAATTCGAGTATGATCGGACGAACTTTGGGTCTATTTCGTCAGATTTGTCATTCTCCTGGAGAAATAAATAGTTCCTGTTATTATTATACCGTATGTCGTCGTCTGTGCGCATGATAAATTCGTATATGTACCTCTTTGGTGCTCTATAAGTAACATACAGTGGAAATCTCAGTGTGATTTAGTAAGCTAGATCTTCTTATTAATCGGTAAGTTATCCCACCTTTTGAATTCTTCATAAGAATACATTTTTTATTTTCTAGAAGCTGATCAACGAGGAACAAAGTGGAGGAGAGATAAATAAATAAAATAACAAGAAATGCATTATGTAGTCCTCTATATACAATAAACCACTAATCACTGGTTTGCTTTCCTTTATCATTACTGCTACTACTGTTGCTTCTACTAGCTTCTACTGTACTTTCACTATTTCTACGTCCTAAAAATTTACTGTTAATCCAGTCTCTGGTTCCAGGCTTATGATGGACGTGTAAAACAACCTTTTTCTTTGATTGTGTAGCTTTCTCTATATCTTGCTTTAACTTGACTTCGTATTCTGCTCTTTTCAGTGCCTCGTACTCTTTACCTACGCTACCTCCGACGTCTTTAAACTCATTTTCCATGTTATCTATGATGTCACTAGTGTTGCCTCTTTTGCCGATGTCCACTTCATGTACTTGCACATCAATGTCATCTTCATTTGAGTTATTGTTGATCGGTCTTTCTGTAATTAGATTGCTTCCCTCAACTAAAATATTTCATTAGCAGAGTCAAATAAAAATAATTGTAAGACCCACTCCATGACTGAACATTTCTTGTACCACCTTGATCATCTTTGCTAGTCTCACGACTGTCCTCTTTGCTGAAGGACTCTAGAGATCCCGCTTGAGCATTGAGTGTCGTTCCCACACGTCTACTTAAACTAAAGAAAGGTATACTGAGACCATGAACAAAAGTTGAGCAAAGCACTAAAAAAAATACTATCGGTTGAATAGTAACTGCTACCAACTCTGCTTGATTTGCTGGTTGTCCTTCTGGGTGTGGCAGTTGAATAGTAGCAAGTGCAGAGATGAAAACTGCTCCTACTCCAATTGGACCAAAGTACCCAGCGAAGAGTGCCTCCCTGAATGTTTTAATATCTGGCATCCACTTATAAAGCGCCAACATTGGTGGAATTCGCTTAACGATGAGAATGCATAGGGCTATTATAACTAGTCTCCAATTGGTAATACCACCTAGAGTTGGATCATTAAATTGATCAAAAGGAACGAGTGCACCGATAAAGATAAAACAAACGCTGTTAAAGAGCAGATCAACAATTGAAGAGAAGTTTGACTCTTCTGTTGCTTTGTTAAAGAAACCATCCCATGCGAAAGCTGTTCCACAACTGAAGGACGCGAGAAGATCATCAGAGCCCAATATCAAAGCAATACCAATACAGAGAAGTGTAAGTGAGACGTATTGGGCGACAAACGATTGTCTATCAATGAGGTTCCGCGATTCACAAAATTTCATTAACTTTCTTGCACCATAACCTATCAGTGCGCCTAAAAAGATACCCAAGGCTACTTCGTAAAGCCATGTGATTAGAAACCATTCTTCGACAGCATAGGGCGTGTCCATAGGCGATAGGAGAAGGTATATTCCGATGTATAAGAAAGGAAAAGCTGCACCATCATTGCATCCACTTTCACATGCGATGATATGCTTAATATGTGCTGGGATATGTTGTTCAGCGAACTTTCCACCAATAACCGCAGCAGCAAGGATAGGATCAGTTGGCGTGAGGGTTGCAGCGATAGTTAGAGAGCCTATGTAATCCAAGCCTGGGATGAGCGCATAAATAAATGCAGCAGAAATCACCCATCCAAATGCCATAATTGGACACAAAAGGAAAAATAAACTCTTCCAATGTCTCTTTACATACCGTCTGGGTAGTTCAACGCCTAAATTTGTTCAAAAGTTATGTCATTTTGATTGAAATTTCCTCACCGATAGCAAAAACGCCCAAAGCTAAAACGACCCGAGTGACTTCTAATATGAGCTCATTTATGGTTTCCTCTTCTGCGTTGTTGCCGTTCTCACCACCAAATTTCCTTGGGTCTATACTGGGGGATGTTTTAACATTTTGATAACATTCCAGAAAGTAAAACGCACACTGCTCCTACGTATGGTCCTATTATGATACCAAATATGGTGGAAGTTACGGCTTCACCGATGTATAATCGTTCCTCTAAATAGTTTGAATAAGCTGATAACTACGGTGAATCGGAAACGCACTGATGAAGAGAGACACCATCATGAATAGTGCTATATAAGCACCTAACAGTGCATACGCCAGGTGAGACGTATTTATCTCGAATGGCTATATATATCGTTAGCTTTCACTGCTCTGAGATTACAGATGTCATATCTAACCGAAAAGTTAGCCAAACCAGCCATTGTATTTCTAGCTGATGACGATACTGAAAATCATTCGACATTCCTCAGTTGCATCTTCAATGGTATTCCTGATATGATGGCATTGGAATGAATATATTTGAATGTAGATATAGATTATACGGACGGTAAGAAATGCATTTTACTTTGACATAATACGGGTATATTTATTTTCCTGTAATTATTCTTTATCATTTTACGTGTTCTAAGCCATCAGACAACACCGTCATCACTACTTTTAGTACTACATATGCAGATACGCCAATTGTTATTGCAAAGAATGGTACCATAGTTATAACTAGTAGCGTCTTACACATTCCGACTATTAATATTGCTAATACACTCTTATCTTCTTTCCCTTCTTTACTCCGTTTATCAGATTCTGTTGATTTGTCTAAGGATCGCTTTGCGACTTTATCTTGAACCATTTTGTATGTTATTTGCAGCTCTTGCTAGTACTTTTTCGAAAGACAACTTCTCAATTTTTACACGCAGTCGACAACCCTTCTGAAAAGAAGCGACAGGAACAAAAGCCTGTTATAATTTATCGAATAAAGATATAAACAGCAAGGATCTACGATATTTCTTGTACAATATCTCAGAATTTATTATCGGTCAACAAATTTTACCACCGGATGCAAAAAGTCAACTAGCTCGTATGATCATTATACCTTTTTTGGATTTCACTGAAATAAAAATCACCCTTATCGATCCCGAAATCGCCTACTTTTCATTAAAATTGCCTGTAATCAGAATATATCTCACATGGTATGTCTGTATCAACTTAAACATGTTAGCACAATTTATAACTATGACATACCTTTATGTTTGAAAAAGACAAATGGCAAATCATACTGTTTTCGTGTTACTACGTTGTTATCAATATGTAAACATACTCACTCTACCAGTTATTTTGTAGAGGTATTCGCGTATTTCTATTGCTTCCTCTTGATCATAATCTTCTAGACTGTATGTTATCAGTAATTGGCCTATAATGTGTTTCTTCTTACTCAATAAACGTCATTCCATTTCTAATATTCAGAAGGCTGATATTATCAAACACTGATGAACAGGCCGGCTATTCCAATTAATATAAGTCATGAAACTAGAGAATCCTTACTAAGTTACTATATCCGAATATAGCTATCAGGTTGTTATTTACGATACTCTATTTGATTGTTACTTAAATAATAAATTCGAGATAGCGTACATCTACAAAAGCAACGACTTCAGACATTCTCGTTAGACAAAGTGAAAGATGGAAGATACAATATTTTCAGCTTGCCGCTAAAGGTTGCATCGATCACACTAAAACCCTACCCTCTGATCATTAATAGATTCGATCACAAAATTAAACATGTATTAGTAGTGATGGATTATTTAGATATTCCAAGGACTGAGATCTTCATACGTATAACACAATGGCCATTCAGTTGTATTCATGACGTCCTTGACTTGTAGATCATCACTGTCTAGTGCACCCACCCCAGCGAATAACAGTGGATCTTCTAAAGTAGCAGGTAAGCCACTCCTTATACCAGACTCCCAATAGAAATCAGTGTTACCGGCGTATTTAAAGACATTCTCTTCATTGAGATTTTGCCAACTTGCCCAAACTCTGTCTACATTAGAATGATGCATGTAGAACAATGGATCATTAGGAGCTGTATTGTTTGCACCATCTATGAGGTATTTCGATAAGATTCGCTCTTACAAACGTAATATGAACTCACCAGTTGCCATATCACCAAAAACAGCGAGATGTATAGCTCCATGTGGACCTGGATAACCATAAGGATTGTATTGCTTTGGTGGAGACTCTACGGAGCTTGCAAACTCCTCGAAAATTTCAATCGTGGTTAAATTGTTCATATTGACAGGGTCATATCCACGTTGAGCATATGGACCTGGGCCATCAGACGGGTAAGTCTCAGAAAGCTTAAGATTTCTAGTCAACTGGTGGTTGAATGGAAAGTTTACTTCATAATTTGCAAAAGCACCATCAGTGATAATAGTAGAATCTGGTAATAATGAGCGACGAACGGTAATATATATTCCTAACTCACTATAAATGTTATCATAATCAAAGTCACCATAGCCTCCAAAACCGATAATAGGGTCACTGTCCCAAATGGCGGACTGAGTGAGATTTTGATAATCATTCTCCCAGCTCCAGTAAGGTAATGCGCCTTCGAATCCACATTCTTGTAATTCTTTGTGATACGCGTAAATGAACCAACGATGCCATGGTAAAAATCTGGCAACCCAATGAATAGCGTATCCTGGATATTGATGTACGAATGTGAAATCCTCGTGTAATGAAGCCTGTGTTTGACCATTGATAGATAATGAAGGCTTATCCATCATACACTTCACTGAGCTGATGTAGCTCGCCTTCTCTTCGTCATTGAGATTGTTCCAATCTCTCCTAACACTTATATTTTCGCAAGTTTGAGATAAGACACTATTGGCTAGTAAGGCGATTGCTAGCGACGTGTATTTCATTTGACTATCAAGGTTCTTAAGAATAAATTAGCCAGTTTGACCTTTAAATACCTCGGACTACCGTCTTGAAGGAATGTTATGATATGAATGAATCGGTGAGCTATTATCCCAAAAAAGACATTTTTTTGGCATGCACCAACTAGTCTTATCTTCAAAGATGCCCCACCCCGGCTTTTTACTCACAGACGGAATGTTATGATATGAACAAGCGGTGAGCTATTTATCCCATAAAACATTTCTGAGAATGCGCCAATTAGTCTGATCTTCAAAGATGACCCACTCCGGCTTTGAAGGTGCGCTTTGAAATGAATAAGTCGGTGTGAACTATATATCCCATGAGACATTCTTGACACAGGACCTGCTGCAGCACCATACGATCTATATCCTACAGAGTAGATATCAATAGAATGTAAAAGAAAGAATGCACTCACTGTCGGCTGCTTTTACTGATTACATAAGCTTAATAAGCTTAGTAAGACAGGTAAGCTTGCTGACTGGTAATCTTACGTCATCGAAGTCTATATAAGGATGTCCTTTTTTCCTTTTTCCTACATAACGAGAAACATCATTTAAACATACTATAATGTCACCACAAATTACACTTTATGCATGCACAGGTGGTCCTAACCCACCAAAGATCGCATTCTTGCTTGAAGAATTAGGAATCGATTATGAAGTTAAGATCTTACAATTTGGTGAAGGTGACGATAACAAGCCGGGAGTAAAGCATCCATCTTTTTTGAAGATCAATCCAAATGGTAGAGTACCAGCAATTGTAGACCACTCTAATGGTGATTTCGCTGTGTGGGAATCTGGCGCGATTCTGCAATACCTCGCTGAAACTAAAGGTGAAAAGTTTATCGGCACTGGTAAAGAAAAGTACGAAGTTCTTTCATGGTTGGCTTTCCAAATTTCAGGACATGGTCCAATGCAAGGACAAGTTAACTATTTCAAGCACTTCTTTAAGAATATTTGGGGTGAAGAGAGCTCTCCTACAGTCGTTAAGCGTTTCGAGACAGAAACCTACAGGGTTTTCAGCGTTCTTGAGACTCAGCTTGCATCTCAAAAGGCTGCTGGCAGTGATTATCTCGTTGGAAAGAACTATACAATTGCCGATATATCATTCCACGGATGGTTACGTACTGTCAGCTTTGCTGGTTTAGATTTGTCACCATATCCACATGTTAAAGCATGGGTAGACCGTAACGAAGCCAAGGAGAGCACAAAGAGAGCAAACAAGAAGATTGCGGATGCTGCTGCTGCTTAATTATGATCACAAACGAAACTTTTGTACTCGAAGATGTATTGCAATATAATGTTACAGAATGTATATTGAGTGATGATTAAATATGATATTAATGATTCCTATCCTGTCTAAGTTTTGTATTGTGTTGTATTGTTTGGATGTTGATTATCATAGCTGGCTCTCCCAGCCGCCATGTTCTGATGATGTTCCCTCGTAAGTCTAGCAGAGCGCTCACTTATCCATTCCTCTCTCTTGAGATCTTCCTCCGCCAATCTCTTCAGCTCAAGAGAGTATCTACTAGCGGCTCTAATTCGCGGACCATAGAAGTAGAAAACTGGTGGTATAAGCATCGACACTGTTGCAATTGCACCTAAAATAGCACTTGCGACTTTATAATCTACGTTTGTGTAGAAAAGATGAGTAATGAGTGCACATATACCGGCTATTATCTCTCTACAGAATGATTGACCAGTGACGGCAGAGCTAGCCAGACTAGCATATGATTCAATAGTGTAGTCACTAACGAAACTGTTCGGTTGTTAGTTGTATTGTTAAGAGCATAATTACACTAACATGAAGAGTATATGAGAAGCGAATCCGAATATTCCAACGCCGACTAATGGTAACCAATAGTTATATCCTGGCCGACCAGTAAAGGCGTACCAGTACAATGATAGTGGGAAGCATACCGCAGCTATGAAACCCCACATTAGCTTCATCTCTGGTGTATATGCGCCATGCTTTTTTGTGTAGTAATCTTGTGCTTTCAATTGAAAATAATAACAAGGTACTGCTATCAAGTTTCCAATCAGGATTGATAAATATAGAAGTGAATTATTTGGTGCTTCAATGCCAAATTGTGCAAATACTAACGGCATAGATTCTATCAGTAGATAAATCAATCCATAATTCATACCATCGTATAAGCTGAAAAAGAATATGATTGGTTCAGTGAACAACATCGCTACTGGCCTGAAAACTACCTCTCTGAGAAAAGTTTTGAGATCTTTCTTGTCACCCTCATAAATGGTCCAGGCGTTAGGGTTTTCTTTTTTACGTATCTTCTTAGTTCTGTTGATCAAAATGACGGATCCGCGAGTCTCTGGAACAAAAATTGCATATATAAGTGCGAGTGGTGCACCAACGATAATTTGGATCCAAAACGTCCACCTCCAGCCCAAATTGTCCAAGACGTACGCACCAATAATTGAGCCTAACATTAATGCTTCGCAGCTAAATGCCCATATATTAACCGCCCATAAACCAGCAGTTTCTCCACGCCATAGATCTGGAACTCCAGCTACGAAATTCAACATTGGTGAACCAAAAAATCCCGAAAGAAATCTGCATACTGCTATAGTTTCTACATTATGCGATAACGCCTGCGGAATAAAGAAAACGTAACAGAGAAACAACGAGGGAATTGCGACTAATTTGCGTCCATAATCTTCGCTTAATGATATCAAAAAAACTGGACCAATTGAGTAGCCAATCAGGTACGTGGCAATTGGTATTTTCATAACTATCGAACTTGTGCCAAACTCTTCTTGTATGGTTTCAGTCGCTGGTACGAATACTGTACTTCCACAGATAAGCCACCAAGTATTGAGCGCTATCATCGTGAATATAAACCATTTCCTAGGGCTACTATAATTGAATGGATTGGTTGGATCGCCTACTTCAAATAAAACCAAATCGTGCTCAGATTTATCTGCTGGGACGAAGTTGCATTCGCCACCTCCATTATCTGGCTTAGAATCCTCGGGTTTTTCTCCATTGTTCGAGCTACTACCTATCGTAGGACTACCCCGGTTTAATTCTATGGAAGATACCATCTGATACCCGTCCTATCGCTTATAAAGGAACAAAGTTACTCCTCTTGGCGGATGAGTCAGTAAAAAAATTAAAATTGGACTAAGATATTAAAAATTATCTATAAAAATGTGATAAAGATTCTGATTTCTTTTTTTTAGATTTTTGAAATTGTATTACGTCGCCGAAAGGAACAAACATCTTTCTTGGGAAAACAGTATCTTATAAAATTATGTATATTGCATTTGAATTATAACATACAATTCCAATCTAAACAATGTATTCTAAAAGTTTATCGTTCTATCTAAATGTAATTTATTTGCGTTATATTAATCTAATTCTCCGTGTTTAATTTTGCATTAATGTAATCTGGCTGGTATTTCGTCTCCTTCAATCTTGCTGAACGCTGCGTTATCCATTCCTCTCTCTTGCGATCTTCCTCTGCTAATCTCTTCAGCTCGAGAGAGTATCTACTAGCGGCTCTAATTCTAGGTCCATAAATATAAAAAATAGGTGGTATAAGCATCGATGCTGTTGCCATAGCCGCTAATATTACAGTTGCGATTGGATAATCTACACTTGTGTAGAAACGATGGGTGATCAATGCACACATAGCCGCTACGATCTCGCGACAGAATGACTGCCCAGTTACAGCAGAGCTAGCAAGACTAGCATATGATTCAATGGTGTAATCACTAACGAATCTATAGACTTGTCAGTTATTTTCTATCAGAAGGGTTGTCGCACTCACATGAATAGTATATGAGAAGCGAATCCGAAAATTCCAACACCAATCAATGGTAACCAATAGTTGTATTCCGGTCGACCAGTAAAGGCGTACCAGTATAGTGATAGGGGGAAGCATACGGCGCCCACGAAACCCCACATTAGCTTCATCTCTGGTGTATATGCGCCATGCTTTCTAGTGTAATAATCCTGTGCTTTCAATTGAAATTGATAACAGGGCAATGCTAAGAAATTTCCTGTTAAAATTGATAAATATAGAAGTGAATTGTTTGGTGCCTCAATACCAAATTGCTCGAAAACTAACGGCATAGATTCTATCAGCAAGTAAATCAGACCATAATTAAGACCGTCGTATAAGCTGAAGAAGAAAATAATAGGTTCAGTGAACAACATTGCTATTGGTCTGAAAACCACCTCTCTGAGTAGAGTTCTGAGATCTCTCTTATCACCCTCATAGATGGTCCAAGCATTAGGGTTCTCTTTTTTACGTATTTCTTTCGTTTTGTTTATTAATATCACAGAACCACGTGTCTCTGGTACGAATTTCGCGTAAACTAATGCAAGTGGTACACCAATGATAATTTGAATCCAAAGATTCCATCTCCATCCAAGGTTTTCGAGGGTATATGCCCCAATAATGGAGCCTAACATAATCGCTTCACAGCTGAATGACCAAAGATTTACTCCCCATAGCCCAGCGGTTTCATCACGCCATAAATCAGGAATTCCAGAAGCATAATTCAACAAAACCGAACCAAAGAAACCAGACAAAAACCTACATACTGCGATAGTTTCAACGTTTTGAGCCAAAGCCTGTGGTATGAAGAAGATATAACAAAGAATTAACGAAGGGATTGCGACAATTTTTCGACCGTAATCTTCACTCAAAGAAATTAGAAGAACCGGACCAAATGCACTTCCAACGAGATACATAGCTATCGGAACTTTCATAGCTATCGAACTTGTACCAAATTCTTCCTGTATTATTGGAGTTGCAGGGGCAAAAATCGTACTACCAGAAATTAACCACCAAGTGTTGATTGAAATAACAGTAAAAATAAACCACTTTTTGGTACTATTGTAGTTAAATGGATTTAAGGGATCTCCTACTTCGAAGAGTACTAGATCCTCTTCGGATTTACCGTTAGACGTGAAAGTATCACTTGGGTTGGCCGGCTTAAATTCATCTGTATTGTAGTAGAATGTTTCATCTTTCGGGCTATCTAGTACCTCCTCCAAAGAAGATTTCATCGCTGTAGTAAGCAAGTACACTAGTTTGCCGAAAAAACAGATCTAACCTAAATTTAAAGCTTGAAATATATTAATGGATCGGAGGACATATGAATATTTATGGTATTATTATAATTAAGTAAAACTCTATCTGTTAATATCTCACTAGAAGATTTTTAGCGAAATCAAACTCGCACTAAATAACATGATGTCACGAACAAGACTCAGTTTGTCTCACGCACTATCAGAAAATTTTTTGGTAGTTAAATCGATAGTTACTTTCTTTTATTATAATAAGTTCCAGTAATTTGCTTTATCAAAAAATCATAAGCATACAGTGCATGGTAGGTCTTAGAAATTAAGTATTTAACTTGTATCAATGGTCGTTTATTAGGCTATTGATTGATGATGATATTCAATTATAATTACAATAGGTTAGCGTACAACATCATTCCTCAATTTTACATGAATGCGGTTCAAACTCTATGTTTAATCTTGGTTAACTTTGCTGAACGTTCCGTTATCCATTCCTCCCTCTTACGGTCTTCCTCTGCTAATCTCTTTAATTCAAGGGAGTATCTACTAGCTGCTCTAATTCTAGGTCCATAGAAGTAGAAAATCGGAGGTAGAACCATAGAAATGGTTGCAATCGCAGCTAAAATGATACTTGCAATTGGATAATCCACATGCGTATAAAATAGATGGGTCACTAGTGCACACGTAGCGGCTATGATTTCTCTACATAATGACTGTCCAGTAACGGCAGAGCTAGCAAGACTTGCGTATGAGTCAATAGTGTAGTCGCTGACAAAACTATCAATGTGTTAGCGGTTTAAGCAAAACCGGTTTTGCTTACATGAAGAGAACATGTGAAGCAAATCCGAATACTCCAACTCCAACTGTGGGTAACCAATAATTATACTCTGGACGACCAGTGAAAGCGTACCAATATAACGACAAGGGAAAAAAGATGGCACCTACGAAACCCCACAAGAGTTTTATCTCTGGGGTGTACGAGCCGTGCTTTTTAGTGTAATAATTCTGTGCTTTTAGTTGAAAATGGTAGCATGGCACTGCTAAGAAGTTTCCAAGCAGGATTGACAAATATAAGAGCGAATTGTTTGGTGCCTCGATGCCGAATTGGGCAAAAACTAGCGGCATAGATTCTATAAACAAATAAATTAAACCATAGTTTAGCCCATCGTATAAGCTGAAAAATAAGACTATTGGTTCAGTGAAGAGCATCACAACTGGTCTAAGAACTACTTCTCTCATTATCGATTTTAAGTCTCTCTTGTCATCCTCATAGATTGTCCAGGCATTAGGGTTTTCCTTCTTACGTATTTCTTTCGTCTTGTTTATTAGTATCACAGAACCACGTGTTTCTGGTACAAATATTGCGTAAATTAATGCGAGTGGTGCACCAACGATAATCTGAATCCAGAAAGTCCACCTCCAACCGAGACCATCGAGGACATAAGCTCCAATGACTGAGCCTAGCATGATCGATTCGCAACTAAATGCCCAGATATTGACAGCCCATAGACCAGCAGTTTCTCCACGCCATAGATCTGGAACACCAGCTACAAAATTCATCATTGGTGAGGCAAAGAAACCAGATATAAATCTGCAAATGGCGATAGTTTCGACATTATTGGATAACGCTTGTGGAATGAAGAAAATATAGCAGAGTATCAATGAAGGAATCGCGACAATCTTGCGTCCATAATCTTCACTCAGAGAGATAAGGAAAACCGGACCAATTCCATTACCAATTAAATACATAGCTATCGGAACCTTCATAACTATCGAACCTGTACCGAACTCTTCTTCAATGACTGGCGTTGCGGGAACAAAAATTGTACTACCACAGATCAACCACCATGTGTTAAGTGAAATGACAGTAAAAATGAACCACTTTTTTAGACTGCTGTAGTTAAAAGGATTTGTAGGATCTCCTACTTCAAAAAGAACAACATCGTCTTCAGATTTACCATTTTGTTTTAGAGTTCTACTAGGATTAGATGATTTATATTCCTCTATTTCATTTTCATAACCCGTCTCCGTAGAACTTTCCTGTATCATTTCCATTGAAGGCAACATAACCATTATGGGAGAGTAATGTTACTTATGTTCGGAGATGATGATCACAAAATGTTTGACGAATTAAGTAGATTATTTTCTATACACTACTATGACCTTTTCATACTTGACAAGCATTGTTTCGGCTTACACGACACTAAATATTTTAGTATAAATCAAACACGCACTAAAATATATTAGTCAATGTGGAGGAATTTGAATGCCTAATGGATGAGATTAGAGGATCACAAATAATAAACCCTTATATTTCTCAATGCTTTTGTTGCCTTTATATTCAATACATGTAAAGATACGATCGACACGATTCATACAAGAAGGACGATAAATCCATAAGGAATATATGCGTCAAATGATACGCTCTGTGACTTCCTCGCAAAATATGTTATACTTTATGCTGTACAACGTGCTCTGAAGTTCAAATACCTGGCTGGAGGGTGTTAGAAGCACAATTTATCGGCAGATCGACTCACTGATTGAGAAATAATCTCTCTTCCTCAAGGTATTCTTTGGATTTCTTGAGAAGATACACCTCCTCTTGTAGCTGTGTTATAATACGCTGACGGGCCCTAAAGTTGGCAACATTTTGACGATTGCGTTCTTTACGTGACTGTTTGCTCGTTTGGTTTCCAGTCAATAGAGTATCTTGCTTCTGGCCAGCAGAAGCTATTTCTAGATTGTCCTGCATTCTTCACGCTGGGTATCGTGGGGGTAAGGTCGAAAATAGGCATCTTTTATAGAAGGAACAGATGCACCTCTGGATTCCCCATTCGAGGGTCCTAGATACGGCGTTCTGGAATTCTATCCAGGGATGTCACTCAAGTTGGCTTATAATAGTCAACACCGATGATCCTTCGGATGTATTTGAATATATATGTATTTAGAAACTAGTGCTGCATATCTTGTTGCTTTGGTAAATAGGCAAGTGAAAGGTCACACATCTGATAGGTAACTATCTACATTGAATAATACATAATGTAATGGAAAGGAACGAAATCGCTCTATAATAATTCTCTGAATGTAAGACCCCGCTGCGGTGTAATCATATTATTCGAATGCGGGTTTGAGGCCTTCTCTTCCCATCATCGAAATTTGAGCTTCCCTCTTTAATTCCTCGCTCTTGCCTTTCAGCTAGTCATTCTCATTTGCAGCGATTTCGTCTTGTATTGCTGATGTAATCTCAATCTGCTTCAAATTATGAATTATTGTAAGTAAAGTGTACGGAACAGACATTAATCTCAAATTACTATTAACTTATTGCTTATTAGTATATATAATTTATATTTCCCTTTATTTTAGGAAATTTTCAAAAACATTGTTTGTTCAAACGATGCTTACGTTATACTTCAAGATTCTTTCGGAAATGAAATTTACTCATAAACTCGTTAAGGAAGAATGTTGATATTTTATTAATTAATACACTTTATAAATTTATATCTATAAAGAGTAAAGATAAAGGAATTTCACGCATATTACGTAATCTAGTTAATGGCAGTTTGAAATATGTTCCTAAGAGGTGAAAACTGAAACTACGGATATTTTGATTTCATAAGAAGTTTCTTTGACTTATCGTAATCTTCAAGGTCTACCAAAGTCCTTTCAAATTGTAAGACAAAATTTATAGCAGAGAGTGTATTATCAAGTATTAATATGTTGCTGGCCTATTATGGTGGATGAAGTGTTCTTCTCACGAAGTAAGTATTAGCTTGCGTATATAGAAAACTCCTATGTTCATTATAGCTTAATCATGGATGAAGCATATAATTGTCTAATTACATATAAACCAATGTATTTTTAAACAGCCAAATATACTTGTTATCTGGCTTCTTTTTATGTCGTCCCAGCGTTCCTGGCATCCAACAAAGTTTTCACTTGTTGTAAAGCATGTGAAATTATCCTCACGAGAGTATTTACTGTTACATACGTCCTATGCTGTACCAGTATCTGGATTTTGAGCTGTCAGCAACTCAATTTTACCGTTTCTGTTTAGAGTGTTCCATGGTAGGTCAAAATAGACACAACCTATAACAGTCCCATGAATTGTTAGAGTTCCCAAAACAAAATTTTCAGGATTATTTGCGTTGTATATAGCTCCTGAATGAGATTGTTGTAAGAACGGATCCTTGTTAGGCTCATAACAAGTATATCTCAAACCATAAGCACCTGCTCTCCCATCACGTCGCTTGGATTTGACTGATAAATTAGACTTTCGAAATAACACAAGTATCTGATGACCATATCCATTACTATCGCCTATCTTCTGATACTGGTGATGGCTGTTTTCACTACCCATCAACTGCCATGCTGATATATCACTATCCATACCCTTACCACTTAAATTTACGTGCTGTTTCAAAGCGTCTCGAGCCCCAATTTCTCTTTCATGAGTTGATGCATTGTTTGCTGTCTGAGTCATTCCTTTTGTGGGAAATGGGGAAGTGGAGTAACCTAGCCCAGTAGCTACAAATAAAGCAATAAACCCAGTAGCGGTCATTTCCCAGTCATTTCGGTATACTCCAAAAGAAGAAGTGAGTGTACCTATACCTGTGAGTATGACGTGGGCAACTAGACCAGTTGCTAAGCGCGCTGCTTGGTAGCTAACGAGTAATGTGTTCATTCGCGGATAAGAAGCTCTGGTCAATATAGCTTTCCCTGCTAAATCGCTAGCTAAAGAATTATCTCCGTTGTGATAATTTTCTTCTGAAGCAGATTGACCCGTCATATAAATAGTATAATTAAGTTTCGGTTGACCGACTTCTTGTAAATATTCGTCCAAGGTTGTTTGATTTATAGTATGCATTTCGTTAACCCAGCAAGCACCGTCTGGCTGGAAATCATCTGATATAAGCCCAACTGTAGTCACTTGGTTTTGCAATACACTACAAGCAGTAGGTTTTCGTAAATTTTCGGCTACCTCTGGTCTGACAAGAAGAATACGGGTAACTGTCAAGTGAACCAAAACCACTATAATTAAGGATAGGATGCATATCGAAAGTGCCAACATTGCATCACTCGAAATAATCACCTGTTTATCGACAAGTGCGACTAAATCAAGCATTTGAATTAAAAAGTTCCAATGCCTTTGAGGGGTATTCTGTCCGCAAAAGCAGTCGTCCGCAAAGAAGGTAACCTTGAAAGGAACCCTTTCTTGTTTTATCGGGGAACACGCAAGTTTAAAAGGTCCGACATGCATTTGTGTTATCGTACATAAAAAAATACTTTATCAGTATGTCTCGAAGAATCTTGTGATGGACTATTTAAAATCATCAATGGTAATTAGTTTTGAATAGTGAATACATGTCACAAAGACAACAGAAAAAAAAAATAACTTAGAAGACTAATGATGAAAAAGTGCGATCTGAAAATACTAATCACAAGTGATTAGAAACCCGATAGCAGAGTATGTCTGATAGAATGATTTTATTATGCTCCGTCTTCCATTCAAAGAGTAGGTTTTCCATAAAAAAACGATCAGTTAAAAATGCAAAAATGAAATCATTCATATGTACATTATCTAACACTTATTTTCACTTCTAATCGCGTTATCCGCTTTCATAATCTTATGTAAGCTGCGTAAAAGGGTATATATAGGATTTCACAACTAGCAAAGTATCCCTTCTTTTCTAGACTGTTGGAAATTTAGCAGTATTAGTCTGAGTTGTCTGTCTATTTGGAATGGCATAGTAGAAAAATGTTTGCTGTTTTCATTTACGAAGAGCCATACGCCTCTGTACTATTAATAATACTCTATCCAATCTATGCTTCTATGATACTCGAAATCTATTTGCTTATTTTATCTGTCCTGAAGAGTGGAAAGAATGTAAAATTGCTTGTTAATAAGACGCATAAACAAATTAAGGGTAACTCGTTTACCGCAGTGCGCAAAAAAAATACCTCTATCCTTGTATCTTAACAAATATCTATAACGTCTCTATGTTAATTCTGTTAATTCTTACAATTAGTAAGACACATATAAATAGAGCAATGCTTCATAGTTTATCCTGAAAACAAGTAAAGTGATTGCATAAATGAATGTTATGTACCTGCTTTTTGTTGCAATTGCATGATATGCCGAAGAGGCGCTAACATCGCATGATACCATTTTAAACCGAAGCAGAAATATAACTAATTATTTATCTTGAAACGTGTTTATCAATTGAATTTATTTATCAAGTTCTATCTGGTAAGCCTACTGATGATGTCATCAGAAGATAAAAGGTGGAAATGTAATATACGAGGGCTTTCAGGTTTCGCGTAACACTAATCAGTCAATTATTTATTACTTGATTCAAAATGTATGTTTTCTTCAAATAAAATTAAAATAAAAAATGTAGTTATATTATGTTGTAGTGAGATATTACGTGAGTATTGGAAAATATCAGGAAACACACTTGTAAGTTCAACGGTTCGTGCTTCTCACTTGACTATCATCTGATGTCAGTAGATATCGACTACAGCAAGCTAGATCAAACGCTAGCGGATAGTTTATTAAAAATATTGAATGAGAGATTAGAAGATCTAAATAAACCGTCTATACTCGGACATGTTGAGTTTACAAACTTGGATTGGTAGGCGAGATTTCGACAGGTATCATAATCTTATGGTATATATAGGGGTGAAATTCCACCAGATATTGAATTAGAAGAAATTGGAGACCTATCCGAGGATTTCAACGAAAGTGAGGATGAGGATGACGACAACAGGGAGGATACAACTGAGGAAGCTACAAAAAGACCTTCAACGATACCGAATATGCAAATAGGACTTAGAATTACCCATGAATCTGATATCAGACTTACCTTATTGACGAATTTACTGATAAATTTCCCATCACCGGGATTCATGAGTTTACCAGTTAAATTGACAGTACGGGGGATTGTATTACATAGTAAAGCAACCATTGGTATAGATAGCAAAAAGCGACAGCTGCACTTCTGCCTGGTAGAGCCACACGAGGAGGAAGACGACGACGATGAAGAGGTAGAAACGCATATATTGCAATCACTAATAGTGGAAAGTGAGATTGGTGATGTTGATAGGCATACACTCAAGAATGTACGGAAAGTAGAAAATTTTATATTAGACTATCTTCGTAATTTATTGTCAAATGAGATAGTATGGCCAAACTATCATACATTTATATTAGAATAATTAATTTTTTACAGATTTTAAAAATTTATTCTCGAGAAGCCCTGCGAGGGGAGAATAACGCTAGACTGCAACCGTCAAGCTTCAGCTAAGTAAGTAGCGCAAATAATAGGAAAATAATAGCAGAAATGCTTAAAATTCTCCTACCAAGTAATTAGAAATCAATGTACTAACCTCTTACCTTTCTAGGATGCCATTCAGTAAATTTTATTTTAGCAAAAAACTACTCAGCTAACCTTCATACAGTCAAGGAAGCCAAGAACAACGCTTACTTCTCACGTTACCAAGTCAAGTACCGTAGACGTCGTGAAGGAAAGACTGACTTCTACGCTCGTAAGCGTCTTGTTACTCAAGCCAAGAACAAGTACAACGCACCAAAGTACAGACTTGTTGTTAGATTCACTAACAAGGACATTATCTGTCAAATTGTTTCCTCAAAGATCCAAGGTGATGTTGTCTTGACTCACGCTAGAGCTCGTGAACTTCCAAAGTACGGTATCAAGCACGGTCTCACTTCATGGTCAGCTGCTTACGCTGTTGGTCTCCTTGTTGCCAGAAGAGCACTCACCAAGCTTGGCTTAGCTGACAAGTACGAAGGTGATGCTGAAGCTACCGGTGAATACAGCCTCACTGAACCACTCGGTGATGACGAACCAAGACCATTCAAGGTCTTCTTGGATGTCGGTTTGAAGCGTACCTCAACCGGTTCAAGAGTTTTCGGTGCTCTTAAGGGTGCTTCAGATGGTGGTCTCTACGTTCCACACTCAGAAAACAGATTCCCAGGTTACGATATCGAATCAAAGGAATTAGACCCAGAAATCTTGCAAAAGTACATTGTCGGTGGTCACATTGCTGAATACATGGAGGAACTCGAAGAAGAAGATGAAGAGAGATTCAAGAAGCAATTCTCTACCTACCTTGAAGACGGTGTTGGCTCAGACGACATCGAAGAAATCTACACTTCAGCTCACGAAAAGATCCGTGAGAACCCAGAGTTCCAAAAGAGCACTGTAGCCTCCGAGAAGGACTGGAAATCAATCTCCCAAGGCTACAAGGCCAAGAAGCTCACCAAGTCACAAAGAGATACTGCTATTGCTCAACGTATCGAAGCCTTCCAATCTCAACAAGAGTAAATTTTTTGCTCAGTTTGACGGTGCACTTTTATACATTAGCTATTTTGAGCTTTAAATATTGTGTTGTGAATCTGCGTGAAAGATAGTGAGATGTAAATTCAGGGAGATGTTGACTTTCCACGAGCATAAATATGTTCGACTTTTATATTGTCTTTCTACTTGCACAAGTAGCTTTATGGTTGTAGTATCCAGATGAGGTCAAACAGGTATGGGAAACATTCTTGCAAATATTTTGAATTCGTATCATTTATCATTAATTAGTTTTATCTGATTGAAGCTCGTCAGATTTTAGATGTTTAAATTGTAAGTAGGATGCATCTTTCGAAAACTCAAATATCATATGACAATACCAACTAGTCTGAATAGAAACAAAAATTACATTTTGATACAAACAATGAGAACAGCTAACAATTCGCTCCTTAGGCGAGATGATCGATGTCTTATCAACCTTGCCTTTGTATAAAACTCATCATCGCTTTCAAACCGTCGTTTGAAAGAAGTATGGTTGTTACATGTATGCTATCATATCCTTTAGTGGCATTCTCATCCACCGATAGTGCAACTTAATTATCATTTCCTGGAAATTATATACTCCAAATAATGCGGTGTATAGATTAGATAATAAAACGGTGATTCGCGTGACCAGAAAAATGAACAATGATTACATCAGAAGAGTCATAATCATTTCTTAAACTATGTTATATAAAGTGAAAATTGAAGTGCCATGATCGATAAATGCATATGTAGTTATTTGGGAATGTTTGAAGACCCTGAACACGAGCTGTGTCACATAATGACGCTCGTGATGTCGACAATCTGCCATTTCCGTAAAACATCGATGATAAGCGCGCAAGAAATATACACATTTAAGAAAAAGATGTTATGTTCATCGTATGAAGTGTACAAAGGAAGTTCACTCAAAATGGCACGATCTCGGAGTGAGAAGCCACTTATGGAAGTCAATCTGAGCTCATTATCAAAGAAGAATATGGCAGTATTTGAGCAATCGCAAAAGACACCCGCTGTTTACGCTCGTCGTCAGCGCTTTACAGGTAAATCGAGATACGAGATGGCGACGGGTATGTCTTGAATTCCCCTCTCGTATCTGCTAACTTACACCGGAAGGTGAAAAAACAGCACAATTGGAAAGAGAAAACTTCGGTAGTAAAAATCGGGTTTTCTCACTACCAGACGGTACGCGTTGTAAGGCTATCCAGCGTGGAAGATCTTTTGTAGTTTCGGATACCAAGACCGGAGAAACACTGGCAACATTCGGTAAAAGTGTGTGGTCGTTGAGAAAACATGGTGTTCTGCGCATGTGCGCAATTGAACGCGATAATACGTCTGCCACCTTTATATTCATGGCTGTGGTGATTCTCATACGTTCTGACAAAAGACGCAAATCAAATATAGGCTAATATGATCTTATTACTAAAGAACTACTATATGTAATATTTAATCAAGATATGACATAATAATATTTTACTGGCCTGAAACCTTCGTACTTAATGTCACGTACGATCAAACATTTGTAGTTTAGAAAAGCCGAGCTGTGCGAATATTCAAAAGCTGTGCCTTGACGAACTAAGTGATAAAAGTCCGAGCGTATATGGCTTGGCTTACAACAATGAAGATAGACTCGCAAGGGATATATACATTCAAGAGAAAGACACTCTCTTCATCATTTGATGTGTACAAAGGAAGTACACTCAGTGGCGCACGCGAGCAAGGAAATAGACCTGTGATGAACGTAGATATCAGCTCAATATCGAGTGAAATGCTCGTACGTGAGCTGCCCAGTATGAAATCGATAGTGACAGCACGTCGTCGTCGCTGGACGGGCAAAGGTTATTACGACGTCACAGTAGGTAAGTCTGTCTATAAATATTATACCCTTCTCTCATTCTTTAAGGTGGGAGAACCACAAGCCTTGAGCGTTCGAGTGTATGGAGCCAAAAGCGATCATTTAAGTTGCTGAATGGTACATCATGTCTAGCAAACCGCAAAAGTTTTGCTCATTCAGCGAGCTTTGTCATCACAAACCAGAGAACGGGGAATACACTCGCCACTTTCGAGAACTGTAGTTGGGCGATGAGTAAACATGGTGTTTTACGTCTGCATGCACCTGAACTAGACGACGATAATATCGCTGTACTTTTCATGGCAATCATTATTATGGTACGTCTTGAGAGAGATAGGAGACAAGCAGCAGCCAGCGGAGGCGGAGGCGGCGGCGGTGGTGGCGGTGGATGCTAGTATGCACTGACGCAGATACCACTCTTTTTAATTATTTTGTAATGTTTTGATATCCTGCGATGACGACATAGCTGTTGCTCTATCGAAGCAAGATTTACACTGACGTACATGTGTATACATATATCTTTAGATTATGCTTGACAGTGATTGTTTTGGTTTGCAAGGATTCTTGAACTTCTTGATCGATTATAAGTGGTTCTATTGACATAGCTTTACAGCAACTTCGACAGATAATATAGGGTTCTGATTATATAATATGAAGTAATGAATGAGCTCTATTACGCGTATTAGACATATAGACTCTCGGGACTTATGGTAATTAGCTGTATGTATCTCAAAACAGTTTCAAACACACTAAACAATGCGGTATATCACTTATCTATGAGCTACATATAAGGGACTACTCTTGGCGAGTCACACAATAATGGAAGCAGTTCATTTATATACATAGGATACATTTCGTTTTCAAGTGTGATGTTCGTGCGAGCATTTACGGCTATGAAAATGTCAGTAACAGCTTGTCTTCGACGTTTAGAAGATAAAAAGAAGTACTGAGTTGCCAATTGGTAAGCTAAGTACATTGTTTATGCCTTCCTCAAACATTTTAGGCGGGAGACGGGTAACCTCCACAATGCAAGTCTTATGAGTCGAAAGCGTGTGATTGAACTATTAGATGACACTCCGTGCATCTTAGAGCATAAGACCTACCCCGCGCTGGTATTTATATCATATCAATCGAAAGACCTGACAATGCGCTAATCCTTTAAAAAATTTCGTGTTAAATGATAAGCACTCACAATGTATTACGTTTTAAAGAGTCTGCATCAAATGCTGATGATATCTCCGTACTCTTCATGCCATCACGTCTATGATCCGTTTAGAAGAGATCGAAGAGCACTGGTAGCATCAGTAGCAGATGGAGGCGCTGATGACCATCAACAAATAATTCGATACAATAGCAGCTTGCAAATTTGATATCAGTTGGTGATAACACGATGACGACATGCTGTGTCACAACTAAGACACCCCTGAAAACATCCGAATCAATTATCAATATGGACTATCACGGTGAATACATATTAAAGGCCCAGAAATATAAATCAAATTTACTACTCTACAAGAAAAACGCAGAAAAACCAACATTTCAGATAGATACGAATTCATGGAGAGCTAAATTTACCCTTATAGAGTTACCCAACAATGTACTTTCACATGCAAAAATGCGTAAATGGACACTCAGTAGAGTCTATGATGTGACAATAGGTGAGTGTGGAATATTCACATCTTCCATCCACTCACGGCCGTAGATGGTGAGACAATGAGCGTGTACCGCGACAATAATGAAGACTCGCAACGATCGTTCAAACTCCCCGATGAGACACAATGTATCGCCTCACGATACGGTTACGGAGCGGGAAGTCGTTATAAAATCACAAGCTTGCCCGATGAGACGATCTTAGCGAGTTTTGAACCAGGAAAAGGGTCGTCAATAATCGGGCGTCTTAGCCTTGACACAAGGGGACTTGACAATCGAAGTTCTATAGCGCTCCTGACAGTAATGTCGATAATGTTACGAATAGGAACAGAGTCGACACGTACTGCGGCAAACGGGACAACTCCTATGATGATGGTGATGTTGGCTGGTGGTAGTGCCGGTGGTGCCGGTGGTTGCGGCGGTAGCTGTTAGATATATCCTGATAATTCCTCAGTTACGTTTGACAGCACCCTTTCTTGTCTACAAATTTTTTTTAACTTTGCAATGCATATATTAAATGTCTCAAGAATAAAAATAAAACCACTCGGTTGTACTTAAGGGCTGGACTTGGCAGGCTCTTCCGGGGACACCCTTGCATGGAGATACTCCCGTTTGTGCTTTTTTATGTTTCTACATGAGAATGATCAGAAAATAATAACCAATGGTAGGTCTATTACAAATCAGAAACTTCCGTCCGCCAATGACGTATATGCTCAGTACAATAACTTTAATTTACCTGACATCTGACAGTTTGAAGGGCGACAGTATAAAATTTAATTGCCAAATAGTATACAAAATAAATTGAGTATTTTTACGCACCTCGCTAAAAAGTATTAGAGACGTCACCAGCGACCCTTCCCGTTTTGTCTACCGATTGCTAGATTAATTAACCCTCGCTTAAATCACATACGCAGGTCCGCGAGTCATGGGCAAAGTAACAATGTACCACTTTTGGGCTCTCACAGCCAACATTTAAAAACCTCCTTGACATTTCACACCATCAGTTTTTTATAAGACACTAAAAGAGAATTTGCAAGATCACACATATTGCACAGAAGGTATAACAAATAACACAAACTCAAATGAAAATCTTGAAGAGCCTTCCAACGAGCTACTCAATCTATAAAGCAAAATGCGACGGAGAGGTTGAGGTATTCGATAAACGTCACCCAGCACACTGGATGCTCAGGACTAGGAGTGGAGGTAACAAGACGAGTTTGGTTGATCAAACAGAACGTCTCTACGTGTGCGCTAAACAACATGGGTTTGACTACGAAGTACACCTCTCTACAGCAAAAGCGAACCTCGACAGGGACAGTTACTTGAATAAACTCAGTTACCTATTTATATTACCTTCAGGAGTTAGGTGTCAAGTAAAATCGCAAGATTTTACCCAGTTTGAAGTCCTCAACATCGAGAATGACGCTTTATTGGCCGTTTATCAGAAAAATAAGCATGGCATGCATTTCCACAAACACGATAGTCTGAAATTATACGGAGAACTAACAGATCATGACAAGTTACTTCTCATTATGGTGTGTCTCTTAGTGAGTTGGCTGTTCCTGACCCAGTTTCTTATCTAACCAATACAGATGGGTCGCATAGAGAGACAAACAAAACCACAACAAAGTCACCTCAAGCAGCTCCTTACAGCGAGTTCATCCAATGGTTCACTAGCATCGATCACTTCCCTTACCTCAAAACATTCGCATAACCCCGAGAAAAGCGCATTCCGTGATAAATTATTGCATTTGTAAAAGTTTGTAATTATAGTCTACTGTACAATAACATATCTACCTCATTTCATGGTCTCCTTTAGTTCTTATCTCGTATTGCTGCCGATGTGGAATGTTTGTAAGTCTAAACAAGCGGGCTTTTTGAAAGAATTATCCTACTTACAGCAAGAAGTTCACATGAAAAGCAAGTATCATAAAAAATTGCACCTAAATTGCGAGGAAATCAGATGCTATGCTGTACTCAATTCGGCTGCATTAGTAGAGCCATGGTTGAGTTGAAGTCAAATGCGCTCTTTACAATAAAGAAAGACGCGAGAAATAGAGGAGTGTTTGATTTTTATCAGGGGGAGTCTCAGGTATCAGCTTTACGAATCAAGTGTGATTGGTGTAGCGTGAACAAAACACCCATATTCAAAATGTTTGATAGAGGAGATGGGGCATTGATAGCTAAAAGCTCTGTCATGAACGGTTTCCGCCTTGACTCCGTGATTGAGATCGTCGGACACAACTACCGGGCTGTGAAAGTGAAAAGAAGGTTATTTAAACGAGGGTGTTACTTCAAGCTAGCTAAGAAACGCAAATGTGAGATAGTTAGAGGAGATGATTGCTTTTTAATCAAGCAAGCTTCGAAAATCCTAGCTGATTATAGAAAAGACAGCATCAAATTGCATCTATCCCAAGAAAGCAGCCTATATGAAAAGTTAATAATACTAATTGTGCTATTCATGAGAAGTGTATTTAAACAATAGATTCTAATTCTTTTGCATAATTTAATGAGTGGCTGATCATATTCTTTGATGGAATTGTGTAAATTTGTTTGTCATCCAAGTTGTATTGCTTGAAAACCAAATGCTGAGTGGATGGAGAAACCGACCAACCTCTCTGTTTAGAGAATTCCATTAATTCTGATTGATTTTTGAAATATAGCAGCGTTGCTGCGTCATTTATAGGTAAAGATTGATAAGCAGTCTCCTGTGATAAGGCGATTTGGTTTCTAATCGTGAACAGCAGTTGATCCCATATCCATTGGTTGAGGTGTTGTTTGTAATCGAACAATTTGGAGTAGCTACCCTCCATAATGAACCTCTCGAGCTTGACTGGAATGGAAATCTCATGTGAATTGAGCAGTTCAATTGGGAGGGTCTCTAGGAGTGTGTGAAAGTCAGAAATCTTGTTCTGTATGAGTTGTATGAGCAACTGGAGTGAAATAATGTCTGGAGATTGTGTATTGAAGTGAATCCAAATTGGTTTGAGGAGATTCAAGTAGCTTTCGAAAGCGCTAATATCAGTTTCTCTGATGGAATAGTGGCAACCATATTCTAAGATATCTTTCAAATCAGCCAACTCGTCGTTTTTGTCACTATCTTTGGGTATAACCAAACCGAGTTGAGCTAGTAACAATTTAGCCCTTGTTAGATTAGATTTTACATTTTTATTATTATATAATTCATTTTTTATATTTTTCAATTCTCCAGTCGACATCTTGGTTGTTTGAAGCTAACGTTCGATTACGTATACGCATACGCAAACGCAGAAATGGATTTAAGATCAACAATGACGCATAAAGACGCAGAGAGGCTTAAAGTGAGTATTTAATTCTCATTATCTAATTATCTAAGTCGTTTTTTTAGAAAGGTGAAGTTAATTTGGGTGTAGGTCGGACTTGAATCGAGGAATAACACAACCTAACACTAAATAGACTTCTATTATGGCTGTAGCATTTAACGGTGGTGTCGTAATTGGTGCTGACTCGCGAACTACTATGGGTTCCTACATCGTTCGTTTCTGCTTTACAATTGAATGGTCTAACAATATACAGGCTAATAGAGTAACTGACAAATTAACACACATCCACGACCGTATTTACTGCTGTAGATCAGGTTCAGCTGCTGATACTCAGGTGCGTCTCATCCTCTTCTAACATCCGTTATTAACTGTATACCAGGCAGTAGCAGACGTAGTAACTTACCATCTTTCTATGTTTGGTGTACAACAAGGCGAGAGACCATCTGTACACACAGCAGCCGCATTATTCAACCAACTTTGCTACTCGAACAAGGACAGATTGTCAGCTGGTATCATCGTCGCTGGATACGACAAGGAGAATGGCGGTAGTGTATACAACATCCCTCTCGGCGGTGGTATGTTCAGACAACCATGGGCTATCGGTGGTAGTGGTTCTACCTACGTCTACGGTTACTGTGACGCGACCTACAAAGACAACATGACAAAAGACGAGACAGTAACTTTCGTTAAGAACACGCTAGCACTCGCTATGTCCAGAGACGGTAGCTCTGGTGGTACTATCAGAATGTGCGTCATCACAGAAGACAATGTAGAGAGGCTATTCGTACCTGGAAACGAACTCCCACGCTTCTGGGAAGGTCAAGAAATCATCAACAAGCCAGCTCACCAGCTGGCGATGGAAGCGCAAGGTGACGTTATGATTCAATAAGCTGCTCTTGTAAAATATATATACTCTTCATTCCTACGCTCATGTTCTGATGCCTGCCTATGCAGATACATATGCCACGACAACTAATGATGGCCCTGTTATACTCACAATAGACGGTATAAATGAAGAAGACTGCGAAGTTGACTACACAATGGATATGGACCATAGTTTGGATGAGGAGGCCATAAATGTCGTAGCAGATGTTAGAAACAATAACAGCATAAGAAACGACACTACTATGGATAACTTGATGGCTGTGGATGTACAGACAGTGCGCTCTTCCTGTTACTTTATCGCACTTTTTTTGACAAAAAGCAGGATTCTCGGATATTCCCATCCAGTTTGCTTGTTTTGGATACCAACGTACTCATATCAAAGCTAGACACTTTGAAATCCCTTCATGAACTTCTATTAAAGCAAAATCCCGCACCTTTTGGGATCATTATACCCGATATCGTCATACGTGAGTTGGACGCCCAAAAGGACAGCAGTAGGAGTATATCCAAATACTCAAGAGCTGCCCTTAGTTGGTGTGTCGATTGTGCAAGATCTCGTACGAGTTTGGTAAAATTCGAGAGAAGTTCGTTAGTCAATGCGGTAGGTGAAGTAGTAGTTTACTTAGAGATTTCCAGATGATTGACATGTGTAGGAAAACGATGTGCGTACCAAATACTGCTCCGAGACATACACTTATCATCCCATAGGACAGGATACTAGGATGTGCATCAGACCTCCAAACCCGTGCCGTTGTTTTATTATTGACGAATGACAACTCCCTAGCCATCAAAGCTGAGAGCCTTGGTTAGTTATCACTGAAATGTTTAATCGTCCATCTTATAAAACCCTCAGGTATACAGACAATGTCAACTAGCGACGATGAAATGCGTCATCTTCGGGGAATAGCAGGCGATAACTCACTCTCTGCATCGAGACACTCTTGCTAGCTTAATTAATTAGACTATTAACAATGTACAAAAGTAATATAAATATAAACATGTAGACTTAGTATTAGCGTTAGCGTTGCGATTCGATGTATGTTCCAACAGCACGCATTTCATCACCATTAGCTGTATGTACATTAGCAATCGCATCTCTATCAATACCAACTTACCCTTCTTGAGATGACTCTTGAGCTCAGATTTAGATGCTTGAGGGAGTAAATTCTCAAGTCTGCTCAAACTTGCTTTGAAAGCTGGACTGAGATCCTCGCTAGGAACGCTACTGTTGCTTGCTTGCTGCATATTCTTCCTGCTAGATTTCCTCACTGGTGCGGGTGTACTGGCGCGCAAACCATATTTGGAAGGAGGCTTTAGGTTTGCCAGACCAGGGAATGGTTCGGGGTTGAGCACATGGTCGAGATTAAATATACTGCTATTACGAGTCTTACTTCCCGGCTTAGCACGCGGTCCAGTTGGTGTGCGATCTAGCCCCTCGAGATTGATGTGAGATGTCGACGCAGATGGGAGATGTCTTCCTTTCTTGTGTGATGAATGTCTGGCGGGTACAGTGACCTCCTTATCCCTGAAGCTTGTTGTCCCTGGTGGTGCGGTAGGAGGTTCGCTCGGGCTTGTAGGTGGAGATGAACTAGCTGGGCTGAATAGCGGTGGTGAAATAGAGCTCTTACTGTTTGGAAGGTCAACTGTCTTGGTAATAGGAGACGGGTTTCCAATTTGTAGCTTCTTCGGTGGGGATTTCGCACTTGTTCGACGCCCAAGATTAGCGAAAAAACCCGCTGCCCGACTCGCTTTGCCACTTTTGGGCGTCATAACGCTGCTATTGGTGCTACTAACTTTCTTCAATGACGCTGCACCAGGGTAGGGCAGCTCTTCGGGTATTTTGTCAGGCGGACTATCTGTGATTCCCATAGCTGCCGTCCTAGAGGTGAGGTCATGGGCGACATTCACATCGCTACCACCCCTCAATGGGAAAGTCGAGTTCGTAGAGAATGAGGCTGAACTGTGGTGCCTTTCCTGTGCGTATGGTACAACAGGCGTCGTCATATATGGACTGCTACTTCCTTGTGCATTTGTGGAATGTATACTGTTTGATTTTCCGATAGAAGGTATTGAACTCTTGTAGTTTAGCTGTTGACTAGTGGTCTTCTCCCGTCGATATCTTTCAGAATGCTTGATAAGCGGTGGTGGACTATACCCACGTGTTCTATTCTCTCCCCCAACACAACGCAACCATATTTGCATGCCACTCGCTGCATTCGCGAGTGCGTTTATCGCTTCGGCCATGCGCATCGCTCTATCAGACGGTGAGATTGCACCATCCAAGACGCTTTTACTAAAGAAGGCGTTCGGGAAGGGCATATCCCGTGTTACTGTCATCGCGTCTTCTCCGGTGGCCGGAAGGTCTACAGTTGATTGTGAGCTTGTACTACTGTCTGATTGATCGTCATGTGCCTTTATAGACATCACCGAGAGATCGCTCTTCCGCCGTTTGAGGAGCACATCACTGGGGATTGTGCCTATAGACGTGCCCTGGCTGTGATGTATGAGAGGGTGTTACAAAGTAATCTAGTGCACTCACTCGTGTTGTAGATCATCATCCTGAACGCCTGTAGCCATAAACTCTGACATATCAGGGTTGTAGTCGTAGCTGCCAACTTTTACCTGTCCCTCAGCCGCGTCTGGGCGATAGACGTTCAAGTGAGTGAAGCTATTACTGTCTATACGCTCTAAAACGCTTGCTTGTCGGTTATCATTGCTCTCTCCAAACTCTGCGCTGTAGCTGCTTGATGGCGAACTCGACGGCGACCTTTCTCCGCTCTCTGCAACGTAGGCGTAGTAATCCAATACACTCGCGTTAGTATGTCGTTTATCAGATTCTGCCATATTTTTCTTTATCAGATCCCGCGCCTGTTCAGCGTCAAGGAAGAAGCTCAGAAGTTAATTGTCAGACTTAATTACGCAATTTATTAATTTTTACGGATTTTACTATTATTTTTAGGCTATAGAGCTTATTTTATATATGACAGCCTCGACGCCTTCCCTAGAAACTAGACTGCGCACAGACACGGCCGATAAGCTTACAGAGAGGCGCTTGAAACTCAAACTAGATTTACTCATACTGCCAATACTCACTATCGACTACTTCTTCGCGCAGCTCGACAGACAAGGCATTGGAAACGCTAAATTGCAGGGACTTCAGCAAGACGTCCTCGACGGCAGTTCAGCAGGTGGTTCAGACAAATATGGTACAATAGTCAGCTTGTTTTTTGTTTCTTACATTATCACTCAGCCATTTGGTGTTCTACTTTCGAAAATGTTCAACATGAAGTTTTTCATTGGCATAAATGTCTTCCTATTTGGACTTTGTGCATCGTTAGAAGCTGCCACCTTCAACTTCAGCTCTTTGGCAGCATGCCGATGGTTCCTCGGTCACTTTGAAGCACTATTCGGTCCTGTCGTCGTTTACTATCTCACCTTATTCTACACAAAAAAAGAAATAGCAATGCGAATATCAATATGGTTCGGTATTGCAGCCATTGCAGGTGCATTCTCTGGCGCTATAGCCTATGGCGTCCAGACCATTGAACAACCAGCTATCAAACACTGGCAGATTCTCTTCCTCATCGAAGGTCTCCCAGCATGTGTCTGCGGACTACTCACGATGGTTCTTACACCAGATCGACCCAATAGCTCGTCAATGTGGTTCAGCGAACAAGAGCGCTCATTGATCATCACTCGGGTGGGCAAACCTGATGCGACAGGAAGTGTTAACAGAAAGCATGTAATATCGGCCCTTATCGACTGGAAAGTCTACTGGGCGGGTGCGATATACTTCTGTTTGAACAATGCACTCAGTTCAACGAGTGTTTATTTGCCAGCTATCGTCAAATCGCTTGGCTACTCGAATGCAAGTGCTCAATTACATGTAGTTCCACCATATGTCGTCGCAGCTGGCGTAACAATCGGTGTTGCCCTACTAAGCGATTACGTGCAGCTAAGAGGACCATTCATGGTGTTAGTTACAGCCATCAGCGTTGCTGGATATGCAATATTGATTGGAACGAACACTAATGAAGCCAAATATGCGGGAGTGTTCCTCGTAGTTATGGGTGTATATCCCTCTATCGCCATGATCAATGGCTGGCTAGTAGGCACGAATCTCGGCTCAGAGACAAAAAAAGCGGCTGGAATGGGGCTCTTTTATGCAATTGGACAGGTGAGTACTCCATCACTTTAAAAATTCGCAACTGACTAAAAACACTCAGTGTGGTAGCATTCTAGGTAGCAAAATTTTCCCTGATTCAGACGACTATGTTAAGGGATATGCAATATCATTAGCCTTGATGGGTCTAGCATGTCTTATGTGCGCTCTTTTGACGTTGTATTATTATCAGGAAAACAAAAGACGCGATAGACTTTACGGAGAAGCAGACCCCGACAAAATACTTGACCTTAGCGAAGAAGCTGATAAGCATCCAGCGTTTAGATATCTCTTGTAATAATATTATCCTAATTTACCCTTAATTACGTCTTTCTAGATAACCACGATGGTATCATTAAACAACACGCTTCGTGAACGCTATGAGGAACTACGAGTGTTGTTAGATAGGGCTATAGAATATTACAAAGCTCTTAGCACTACCTCTAAAATCCTCCTCTGGGCTGTGGCCGGTTTACACCAAATTCTTGGTGTCGTCATCTGGCTCGTCGGTCCTAAGAAGATATTTGGATGTAAGTGGAGAAAATATATAAGAGTTTCACTGAAATAGTACAGATATTGCAAACATTGCTCTCGAATTACAGAATTTGCCCTTTGGTTGGCTGATACTAGTATCCTGCCTTGTGGTGGCATCGTTCCCGCCATTAATCGGCTATGGAATGCTGATCACGGTATGCGGATTCGTCTATGGCTTTCCATTTGGCATTCTACCGGCTGCAGCCGGCAGTATCACCGGTGCGACAGTTGTTTTCCAGCTGAGCAGAGCTCTTCAAAAAAGCGCCTTTTGGAGCAGCAGGCTAAGTGCGCTGTCAAATTCACCGAAATGGCGAGCGATCAGTCTCGCGATAACTGAACGGGGAATCGGTTTGGTTGTCTTACTACGATTGTGCCCGATACCCCCATGGGTGTACAGCAATTTGGGTTTCAGTCTATTGCCAGAGGAGCAACTCAGTTATTGGAACTTCCTTTTAGCCACGTTGCTTAGCACACCACGACTTTTTCTACATGTTTTCATCGGTTCACGCCTATTCAATCTCTCAGATCCCAATCAGGAGCTCGATGGGACAAGCAAAATGATCGACATCGCAAGCATAGTCACAGGAATGACTCTTTCAACCGCACTGGGGTGGTACGTCTACAAGACGACAATGCGCAAGATTAAAGAGAGTGTGCATGATGTTTATGATGATAATGAAAGTCTATTGTCAGAGTTACGGTAGTTTCTATATTATTCCAATCTTGTTCTATATCCTAATTAAACTCTCGTAACGATTTCTGTGGATCACGTCTGCAGATGTTTCCACCACCACGGAGCAACTCTGGAAGAACTCTTCCATGTTTAATTGTTTGTTGTACCTGAACTTTGTCAAATAAAGTAATAATAGCATTATTGTTTACTCACAATAGCTGGAACTTCACGTGCTGATACTCTACCGTAGCAAACACTAGCACCAGATGGGAAATGGATGATAACGTTTCCAGCGAACTTGTGACCGCCGACATGACTAACTTTGAAAAGACCGACTGTGCTTCCTTCCTCTACGGTGATATCTTTCAGTCTTTCTGTGATCTCGTTGACATCCTTTGTGGTGTCGCACTCTTCAGGTGAGGCCTTGATTTGAGGAGAAGTATAAGGTGTGGCAGTCATGCTGAAACCACCCTGGGGGAGTTGAACGGGTTTGTGATCGAGGGATATTGTGTCACCTCTCTTGTCAATGTTCCAACCTTCACTTTCGACACATTTTATCATTTCTCGTTCAATGATAGGAGCAGAAATTGCACATTTCTTGTCGCGAGATTTGTGTGAGCATATGAGGACTGTGGCGATATATGGGAGGGGGTATGTGCGTATAGCCTTCTCGGACGCAACGAGGTGATTGACAGCGAGGTGTGACTTGAAGAAGTCTTCGGCAGTCTCCCTATTGACGCAGATGTTCTCTGCTAATACGTAATCAGGGAAAACAAGGGCTGACTCTCTTTCTTTCTTTGTTGAAGGGGAGATATGAGAGCCGTTAAGGATCTGGATGTTGTTATTACCCTCAATCCGGGTATCGAATACACCTTCACACTTTATAGGATGTGAGGCTACTTGTGGTACTTTTTGTACGCTTGTGTTTGCTCTTTTCGCTATGATACGTTGCATGAGACCAGGATCGTCTTTAAGCTGGAAAGTATCCTGTGTACGGTCGAGCATACCAGCCAGGGTGAGCTCATTATCTGTGATATCATGCTCCCAATCTGTTCTACCTGTGCTTATAACGACTTGCTTAGAAAATGGTTTGTAAGTGCCGAGCATGTTTGAAGTAGTATCAACTAAGGCGATATTAGTGTGTATAGATCTACTATAAGTAACGAACTATCGAAATTCTTTGGGAAATCCTCAAAGTCACCGGTTTCGCCATCACATTTCGCTACACAGGAGTGACAGTCTACCTCGGATATTGGCACTTTGGCAGAAGATAAGCTCTCTTTGTTCTTATCAGATTGCTTATTCGCTGGCTTATTCCCTATACCAGATATCGTACGCTTCAAGAATCCTGACATGATGACTGTTCGCTCTTGAGAGTCTACGACGATGGACATACGCAAGAATAAGCAGATTAGACAGTCGTTCGCACCTGCACCATCACCTACACCAAGTCTACCGCAACTCTCGAGTTCAGAGGACTCGCCTAGAAAAACATCGACACTCAAGTTGGTGCTCTACAGTCTACCATCGCTACAGCCATCGGAACTACCGAATTCAACGAGAACGCAGATTTGCAAGTCAGCCAGCATTCCTTATAGAGATTTGAGAGTCTTGGATAGCCCACTCAGCGATGACGAACCGTCGATTTTGATTAGGGACAGCTGTATCGTTTATGCCGGCGAGGGCGTACGTGCTATTGTTAGATCAGACAGACTTCTCGTCGTCAGAGGCGAGAACGACGTCGGCATTGGTCATAATCCGGTCAGTTGGCCTTCTTTCTCATTCGTCAGTCAAATTGACGATCACTTCTAGGCAACGATTGAAATTATCCATACTATTCTTCTCAGCTTGGAGAATAGACTGACGTCTAATGATTTTACAAAGCGAACCTATCCTTTCGAATTCAAGTGAGTCGAAAGCTTCCCCTTCGGCATTTTTCTTAACGAGCTGTAGCGCACTAGAAACTCTCTTGATGCATTCCTTCAGCTTACTAGAAAAGCGTGTGGCGAGTCTCACGCTCTCGACAGACACACTCCTCGAGACACTCCGCACAAAAGGCATAGAACATGACCAGTTATTGGATATGCTCGATCTTTCGACAGCTGTCGACAAAGCAAATAGGAAAGTACGTGGTATGCACAAAGCAATAGAAGAAGTCCTTCGAGAAGAGGAGGACATGGCTGCTATGTACTTGACAGCCAAGCATTTCGGAAAGCCGCGCAACGAAGGTGAAGATGATGAAGTTGAGCTTCTCTTGGAAGCCTATTTGAAGCAATCATCAACTCTCTGCTCAGCTGTAGCAGCTCTAACAACTCGTTTGCAGTCCACCAGTCGGCATATCGACCTCGTTATGGCTGCAACGAGAAACAGATTGCTACACCTGGAAATACAACTGGCTGTCGTCACTGCGGCACTCGGATTGGGATCCTTCTTCACTGGATTGCTCGGTATGAACTTGATGAACCACTTTGAGGAACACTGGAGTGCGTTTTACATATTCACAAGCTTCCTCGTTGTCCTTGTGACTATAACCATGAGGTATGGCATAAGGATACTCAACAGGACACGCTGGTCAAGGATACAAGCCTCGAAAGAGGACCATAGCAACGACCACCTGAACAACCTAGTGAGGAAGAGCATGCTATCAAACAACAAGCCAATTAGATTAGAAAATGAGTCAGAGGGTGAGGAAAGTGTATAATTGATGCATAGACTGGTGGTCTACACTCACTGCGGTGGGCATCCGAAAGGAAAGCATTTAAAAAACAGAGTGCCGTGTTAGTCTGTAGTAGTTGTGCAATAATAAAATATAAGTCTAGATTTGTAATAATGTTGGTAATAGAACCCTTGAATACGTACTACCAGCTCAGAATCCAGCCAATGAATGAGGATGGCAAGTAACAACGATAACCCACGCGTATATGACCTGGTGAAGCCACTAGGAGAAGGCAGCTTCGCAGAGGTCTACCTCGTTGGCTGGAAATCGCCCAAACTGAGATTGCAGACGGGCGTGGCAGCACCGATATCGCAAATGCAAATGTGAGACTAAAATGACACAAAAAATATAAATCTCATTATTCTATAGTAACAATAACCGGCCAGAGTACACTAACAAACACCTCGTTGCAATCAAAAGAATGAAAAAGTCGTTCAAAGATTGGAAAGAATGCGAGAAACTGAAAGAACTAAAAGTGAGCTAGAAATTAAACCGTTTTACATCTTTTAACTTGGTATTTAGTCACTCCTGGCTATCCCACAGCACCCAAACCTTATCCCTTTGTATGACGCCTTCCTGCACCCTACAACCAAAGAACTCTACTTTGTTTTTGAGTCGATGGAGGGTAACCTCTATCAACTCACAAAGTCTCGTAGAGGTAGACCACTCGCTCAGGGTTTGGTGGCTTCTCTTTTCAGACAAACAGTCGCAGGTCTCTCCCATATCCACAGGTCTGGTTACTTTCATAGGGACATGAAACCAGAAAACCTTCTTATCACTACAACTGGTTTGACAGATTACCCCTCACTGTCAAATTCCCTAGAGAGGGACGTCACAGTCATCGTCAAGTTGGCTGATTTTGGTTTAGCCCGCGAATCTGACAGTAAACCTCCTTACACTGAATATGTCTCTACTCGTTGGTATAGAGCCCCCGAAGTTTTACTACGCGCAAAGGACTATGGTCCACCAGTCGACTTATGGGCTTTAGGGACTATACTAGCCGAAATTGTAAACCTCAAACCTTTATTCCCAGGTCAAAGTGAAGTTGATCAAGTTTACAAAATATGTCACGTATTGGGTAACCCAACATCACAATCTACCTATCATCCAGTCACAAACACTTTAATAGGAGGCGGTGATTGGCAACATGGTTTGAAATTAGCTGCAACAATTGGTTTCCAATTCCCTCAGGTGGGTCTCCAATCAGCAGCTTTCTTTTACTAACTCTCTCTAGCTACCCCCTCAACCACTCGAAAATTACTTTGACAATAGAATTCCTCACCAGTTCATTTCACTCATTCAAAGCCTCTTGCGCTTCGACCCAAAGAATAGAATAGATAGTTTTGGATGTTTTGAATCTTCTTATTACCTCGAAATTTGCAATAGAGTGGATACCACACATCCAGGCTACACGCACATACACCATCGGAAACAACCACCACCATTAGTTATCCAACATCAGTCTTACATCCCACAACCAAACAACTTACCGCCTTTATCCGCAGAAGTTGCAATAGCATCACCTTCATATAGTCATAGTAGCGCCGCTACTTCAAACAATAGACATTCCTCATTTTGCTCAGATCCTTCACACAAAAGATACGACTCATTCGCAAGCTCTTCCACTAATAACTCTAGTTTACTCTACGTTAATCAAGGTTACAGTAATAATAGTCAGTATAGCTTTGATGATGAGCCAAGCTACGATGCTAGTTCGAGTAATGCCACAGCACGTGATAATATTATACCAAATTCAATCTCCACGGCTAGTTTGGATAGCACTTTGAATCCCCATAGAGTTTCTTTGGCAACAGATAATGGTTTTGTTGGTAGATCCGGACACATCAAATCACCTTCATTGGAGAGTATACCTCATCCAAGTCAACAAAACCAACAATATAAGTCAAATAAAGCTTCTAGATGGTTCGGTGGTGTTTTTTCAGGTCATCACCATGGAAACGCCGGTGGGCACTCACAGGCTGGATCAACCATATACGGATCTAGTACAGCTCAGCCAATCCCCGAACTACTCAATCCTAAAGATGCAAAGAAGGCTGCCAAAGAGGCAGAGAAAAAGAGACGTGAGGATATGCTCAATGCTCAGCGTGAACGTGCGAGGGCAGTCCTCAATAAGCAAAAGAGTCTGGGTAAAGAAGTCATTCAAGATAGTATAAAGAATGCTCACCCTCATATGCAACCAAATCAACATTCATTGTCACAATCACGAAGGCCCTCACATGCTACAAGCAACATACACAACTATAATATAAATATGCATTTACCAAGATCACCACAGCATTTAGATCCACTATCATCGCCACTGTCTCCGCCGCTACCATTACCAACATCTCGCTCACGGAGTGGAAGCAGATCACACTCCGAAACTGGGTTCATGATTAGTGATGAATTAACTATGGCTAGGAGTAAAGCCAGGCGGCGGAATGAAGATGATGACCATTCAATGTCCTCATATTCGTCACTCCATTTGGACCCTGATCAAAGAAGTTCATTAAGTTTAAGTAGACTTTCATTCGCAACGGATTATTCAGATCCTGGACCAAATCCTAGTCAATCTGCTATACATCGTAAAGCATCTCAAAATTCATTCCGGACTACGAAATCTTCACCACATCTATCGCATATACATCAACAGCAATCCTCACAATCATCGCAGGCGAATGATTTAGCTGAAAGAATAGATAAAACTAATTTAAATATCTCAAACTCTCAATCTATACCTGATCAAAATATCAATCCAATATTTAAGTTACCACCGTTTTCACATATCTCTGAACAGGCTGATAAGGGAAGGGAAGGAAATGGTAATCCATAGTTACCTTTGGCGTTTTAATTTTTAATTTTTAATTTTTTGCTTTTTGCTTCATCATTCGAACACTTTCGGTTTTCTTATTTTCCTAAAATATTTTTAATACATGATCACATTGTGAAAAATTTTCATAATCGTTTGGGGACAAAAAGTACCGAATATTAAGCTTTAAGACAACTTTAATAATTAGTTTAGATATTTATAATGTATCTGTGCTGTAATAGAATATATATTATTCTTATCTCATTTGACTAAAAAAATAGCGCTCGGATCTTCTACCCCCGGAAGCCGTTGACACCTTCATTAGGATCGTCGATTAGTGAAAAGAAAGGGAGGTATTTTCGTACAATAAATACACCACACTCGTTAAAACTTTTACAATAATGAAATTAAGTCTTCTCGCATTAGCCGCCGCAGGATTCGCTGCAGCATTACCAACAACATTGAATGAAGGATACAGTGAGGAATGCCCTAACGGTTTGGCTATACGTCCAGAGTGGAGTCAGATGTCAAAGAAGCATAGAAAGGAATATATTAGTGCATTGCAATGTATGATTAACAAACCAAGCACTGTGAATGAGACACAAATCAACTCACACTATGAAGATTTCTGGTACACTCACCAATTCCCTGGACCAGCTATTCACTTCGTTGCAGCATTCCTTCCTTGGCATCGTCACTACGTTTACACCTACCATCAATCACTCAAGGAGTGTGGATACACGGGTGAGATGCCATTTTGGGCCTGGGACTGGAATGCGGATGATGTCTTCAAATCAAGCATTTTCGATCCTGATAGCGAATCTGGTTTGGGTACAAATGGAACAACCCCTGAAGGTGCCCCAATAAGTGAGTATTTTTCAGCAGGGTCGAATGTCTCACTAACGTATACAGATGGATTTGCTGTTACAGACGGTGGTTTAGCTAACCATCAAATTGAGTATCCATACAAGCACAGCTTCCAGCGCAATTTCAACTTGAATCCACCAGGTACGCCAGTTTCTTTGGACACTTTTATCAAGGAATCCGAAGTTACAAAAGCGCTTGCCTACGATAGATACGACTATTTCCATAAATACGTCGAGGGCGCACCACCACAAGAGATAGCGAAGGGTGTACCTGAGATTGAAGGCATGAAAGGATTTGCGGGTATGCACGGTGCTGTACACCGTCTCATCGGAGGTGACATGGCTTCAATCATTGATCATAAAGCTCCAGATTGGTGTCCTTCATTCGAATCGGATGAGAGTTCAAACTATGGTGCAAACGCATCACCAAATGACCCACTCTTCTTCGTCCACCACTCCAATATTGATAGGATCTGGGCGAAATGGCAAGATCAAGATCCAGAGAACAACAAGTTCGCCTATGGTGGATTCACATTCCACAATTACACCACTGAGGAAGGTACTGGAGTTGCCAGCATAAACGACACCTTAGAGTTTGGCTTTATCACCGATCCTGTTCCAGTACATTACACTATGGATTACCAGAAGACTTACTGTTACAAATACGCCGACAAAGACTACAGAGAGGAAGATAACTTGGTCGATTTCCTCGCTCAGGGCTTCTCCTGGTAGACACTTAATTGTCATTTCTTAGGAGGGGATGTTTTTTTTTCCTTCTTTCTACCTTTTTGTCTTATTTTCTTTCACTCACAACAACACCTACCTCGACGGATTTGAGGTTCAAGATATACTTCCCGGACAATTATATCACTACATAGCAATAAAAAAAAGTTACATATTTCATTATCATATTTTCTAGACAGCACTCGCAGTGAACGGACACTCATATCAGCACATTCGTTAGTATTGTACGACTACTACTTCTACATCTCCACCATTAGGTGATTTATACATATTTCATTCCCCTCCTATTAGCGTGGTCTTCATTTTAATTATTTTGTTTGTCTAGCATGGCTATAGTCTAATGTTCTACTTGCGATTCTGTAGAATAATCGATTTTGAGAGGTATTTCATAGAATAAATGCCATCAAGTTTTGGTTTTTTTTTGTAATTCAAGGTGTGTTTTCAATGTCAATCACGCGATCGCGCGTCTGATGAATCACTCCTCTAGTAGGTGTTAAGTCATTAGACGTTTATGGAGGTTCTCGTGACCCAATCAATGATCATGAGCCTGGCTGAGGAAAACAGAAACTCTAACTATCTGTCCGGAAATACGAATATGAATGTTTTTATATTCTGAACGATGATTATTGACATACAAGCTTGTGTTTCATATATATCTCATTTTTCTCATTGTCAGCATTTGTATTAACCTATAAATTGGGAGACTTTCCACGTAAGCTCTGTGACATAACTTCCCTGTAGGAACAATAAAGGTGCGATGAAGTTCATTATCATCACCCAATAAGAAAGCCATTTCACAAACGTCCCAGATGAATATGGGCAAAGTAGTAAAACATAAGCCCTCTCGTACGGTATATATCCCCTCTGGTCGAACAAGTAGAGCATTTTAGTAGTCCCGAAATTTCTCATTATGATGAAACTTCGGTGTACATTCTATATCTGTATCAATTAAGCTACGTAAACTTCCTCTCATAAACTATGTCATCTTTTAATTTATCATCTATAACCAGATGTCCACAATAAACGCTTATTAATGATTATGATCATGATCATGAAGTCTAGATATATTGTTAAGACGCTACAAACATTGGCTACGTTTATCAATATCTCTTACATCTCTTATGTGGTGAGGATTTCACTGGTACATCGAAAAATTTTCTCTGGGCTTACATAGGAGAAAATATAGTTTTGGATACTCAAAATATAAGGATGTGCCCCTACCTTCGTAGGTAATACAGCGGGCAATACGCAGGAACAGTTGATATGACATCATGGCCGATTATGAGAACAATGAGAATAAAACGAACAATGAAGATAATGCATGATTATGCACAAGAACAAAGAACAAAGGGAATAACCCTAGAATTCTAAACTATTTAAACGATTACTTTTTCTTTTGATACACTCAGACTTAATTCTTTTATTAATTCTCAACGTCTCACTTTTGTGTGCAGGTTTTCACATCACAAAGAGTCAGACGTTTACAGTTGGTAGCTTCGCCAGAGAAAACCAAGCAGATATTAGAGAAGAGATAGCAAGATAGTTCACCTGTTAAACGGAACAAGAAAGTAATGTCAGAAGACCAAATTTTAGCAAACCAAACAACGGAAATGAACCTTGGCGACAATGAGTCACGGGTCGCTCAGTTTCATGACCACATTCGAGCAGCAATAGCAGACGCAGTAGCAAACG